ATCTTTGTTTTCTATTTTTCATTTTAGTTTTTACTTTCTGAAAGTTCCTCAATTTTATCTTCTTTTTTTCCATTTCTATTATACTTCTTAACTTCAATCCCCCTTGTTTTCTTCTTAAATGTTCCTTTCTTATAGAATTTTCTTTCCAATAGTTGTTTTTCTTTAACCTTTATGTTCTGAGTTAGAGGCTTTCCTTGAATGTCTGATACACTTTGGTTGTCTGTTCTCAGAAGTCTAAGCAGCATTTCGGAAGCTCTGAGCTAGTGAATGGGGCTTATTTTCTTTTTCACTGTAGGTGCTTTGGTGGTCTGTATTGGGGAACCTCTATTGTCAGTATCTTTAAGTAAAATTTCCTCTTGATCTGGACAGGTCCATAGTTGCAATTTCCAACCTCTTGTTTGGAGAGTAAACGTCTGCTACCATTTGAGGAGCAAAATGGGAAAGGGGGCTTTGGGAAGGATCATCTCAGGATTTAGGATTTAGTATACATTTGGCCACTGACTCTCCTCTTTTTGCTACAGCACCCAGGATCTCGCCTGTGCCTGGTATCCTGCTTAGAGAGCCTCTATTTTACCTTCTACGGAAAATAGCCTCCAGAGTTCCACTGGGGTAGGTGAGGGGTTGTCCTGAGCAAGGAGGGTAAGGAGAGTATCTAGGGGTTTAAATGTTCTTAAATGGTTTTCTTTCTATCATTTTAGCACCTGCCCTTCCTCTCTGCTTCACTGTTAGCTCCAGAGGCACGCATGTTGTCAGTTCCTGAGCCTTTTGAGGGTAAAGCAGGTTGGTTCTTGGCTTTCTTCCCACTTTCTAGCTTAAGGTTGAGGTATCTGTAGGCATTATCATAGATCCATATGCTTTCTAGCTTCTAAAATGCATTTGCTATCATCTCCTATTCTCACTGTTCTTAAAGACTTATGTATTCTTTTAAATTCCTTTCCTAGGATTTGAGGAGGAAGCAAAATTAGATGCATATGCTCAATCTTAACCCTGAACCCAATTTTAAAAATTTTAATGAAGTCAAATGTATTTATCTTTGCCTCTATCGTTTGTGCTATTTTTATATATATAGCAGAGGCCTGATGCATGAAATTCCTGCACTGGGGGGATTCCTTCAGCCCAGCCTGCGCCCTCTCACAGTCTAGGGCTTTTGCAGTCTGGGACCCCTCACTCCTTACCACCCACCTACAGCTGAGGCGGGAGAGGCTCCCGCCACTGCCAGCCATGAGCCCAGCTTCTGGCTGAGCAGCGTTCCCGCTGTGGGAGCGCACTGACCAGCAGGGGGCAGCTCCTGCATTGAGCGTCTGCCCCCTGGTGGTCAGTGCTCATCATAGTGACTGGTCGTTCCACTAGTTGTCCCGCCATTTGATCGATTTGCATATTAGGGTTTTATTATATAGGATGTATTATAAGGGTTGCTGTTGTTTTTATGTACAAAAAGATAGCCTTCTGTCATAAGGTAGATGTCTTGAATGACCCATTCATAGAAATTCACTTAGTCCAGCTTAATGAAGCCTATGTCCTCAAATACTGATGGAAACACTGGCTACACATGTTGAGGCCCTATTTCCAGATCAGACCATGGCGGTTTGAACAGATGTGGCAAGAATGAGAACCATGGCCAAATTTCCTCATATGGCTCCAGTAGAGTTATTGGTGACCCATCTTGCTCTCTCTGTAGCAATGAGGCAAAAGTTTTTCTCAATATAATTTTGGTATTATCTTATTTAACCTTGGAGAGTAGGAAAGCAGGAATCATTATCTTACTTTTAAAAATGAAGAACCAAGGCTCTGAGAGTTTAAATGACTTGTCCAAGTTTATACAAGTAACACATTAGTTCTTGGGTCTGGACTAAATCCAAGTCTACTAACTCTAGGACAAATCTAAGCGATGCCACCTCTTGATATTCTAAAACTGGTTTTATTTCTTTTTGTTTTTATTTCAAATTTTTTATTGTATTTACATCCTGAATTTTTATTGCCTTTTAGTCTGATTTGCACACCAATCTTTTCCTTATTAATATGTTGGCCTTATATTGATTACTGATAGAAAAATAGTGATGAACTCAAATCCCTTGATTGCCTGGCAGCAAAGAACAATCTTAAGAAAATAACTTCTAGATATTATTTGTTTATGTGGTTTCCTGAACCTCAGGCCTTACCTGTATAATAGTGGTCCTCTGGTCTTTGTATACCGCAATAAGAGAGCATGACAGAAAGATGAACCCAAGGAGGGAGATTTTGTGAAAGTGATACCTGAATGGCAAGCTGAGGTTTTCCCCCAGGATCGTGTCTCACAAAGCTAAAGAATGAAATCAAAGACCAAAAGATTTAAGCAAAAGCATGGAAAATGTATTGCAAGCATATTCAGACTCTCTGCACAGGAAGGGGGCCTAATAATGGGTTGCCACTGAAGCCTTTTAGTCTAGGGCAGTGGTCGGCAAACTGTGGCTCCGCAAACCGAGGCTCGCGAGCCACATGCGGCTCTTTGGCCCCTTGAGCATAGCTCTTCCACAAAATACTGGCTCTTCAACAAAATACTGACGTCTGCGCACGGGCCACAAAGTTTCAACCGCACTGTACGTGTGCGCCTGCACGTGGTATTTTGTGGAAGAGCCTCACTCAAGGGGCCAAAGAGCGGCATGTGGCTCTCAAGCCGCGGTTTGCCGACCACGGGTCTAGGGGATTATATATGTTACAAGCCTACTCTGTATCTAACCGTGTGGCCACCTGATTGATTCCCTCAATTGTTCTTGCCCAGCAACGAACCTGGACTTCCCCTATTCCTACGCCTCAGTTCACCTTATTGTTGCAGCCCTTCCCTGGTTTCACATACCTCCAACTCTGAGTCTAAAAACATTGTTATTTCTGCAAGGTTGGTTTCTATGGTTAGGCTTGCTCATTGCCGTGTCTGCCCCTGATGATGTTCCATCTGCCTTTGTTTTCTACTGGCCCCTGCCCTATCTGCCTGCATGTCAAGCTAACTCCTCTCAAAAGTCAAAGTTATTTATTTGATGGGCCTTAGTTATCTATACTAATAAAAGGGTAATACGCTAATTAGACCGGGAGACCAAACATCTTCTGGACATCTGACTTCCTTCCGGACAAAGCCACGGTGGTGGGGGCCGAGGCGGAGGCAGTTAGGGGTGATCAGGCTGGCAGGGCAGGGCAGGGCAGTTGGGGGCCATCAGGCTGGCAGGGCAAGGCAATTGGGGGCCATCAGGCTGGCAGGGGAGGGCAGTTGTGGGCCATCAGGCCAGCAGGGGAGGGCATTTGGGGGCCATCAGGCCAGCAGGACAGGGCAGTTGGGGGCCATCAGGCTGGCAGGGGAGCGGTTAGGCGGTGATCAGGCTGGCAGGCAGGCAAGCGGTTAGGAGCCAGCGGGCCAGATTGTGAGAGGGATGTCTGACTGCCAGTTTAGGCCCCTGTGGGATGGGGCGTAAACTGTCAATCAGACATCCCCTCAGGGGTCCCGGATTGGAGGGGGTGCAGGCTGGGCTGAGGGACACCCGCCCCACCGTGCACGAATTTCGTGCACCGGACCTCTAGTAGAATTAAAATTTTAGGTAAAAAGGTCAATAGTTAAGTAATAAAGGGCTTCAAAGAAATAAATTATTGTGTTTAAAATGTCTTTCTAAACAAGATAAGGAAAATAAAGTAGGAGATTATTTAATTCTGGTGGCTACAAAAATAATATAAACAATGAGGGAGATGAAGCAAACATCTTTTAACATTGTTATTTACTCTAATTACAAAATTCCCTTCCTATGTTTACTAATAGTTGTGGTGAAAACCAAGATTCATATGAGATAATGGAAAATACAGGGTATCCAAAAAAAACTATATACACACTTTGAATAATTATTCATTCCAATGGGTTAAATCTGAAAAGCAAGAAACATCTATTGTGCTATCAGCTCATAAGTAAATTTGGGGGGGACATCCTGTATATATTGATCTCTGTTTCTCATTCCTGGCACACAGTTCCTAAAACCCTTGTCATTTCTTAAGTGAAAACAGCATTAGGAGCAACTTTTGTTTTAAAATTTGACCTTAGTTCCTGACACAAAAGTTCTTAAATAACTTGGAATTTCCTGGGTTTGGTAATGTCATTTGTTCTAATGAGGTGACTCATGGTGAGCTCCTAAATGGGGGCTGGTCATCAGGGAGACCAAGTCACAATTAGAAACTAGATATTCAAGGGTTTATTCCAGGAAAAAGAGAGAACTGCAACCCAGAACATGCAGCCATGGCAAATTCACCACCACAAATACATAGGAAGTTCTTATATGGATGGTAAAAAGAAGGCTGTTGTGATAACTAGAGTTCTTACTTAGCTTCTTGACTAACATAGAATGAGAGTTCCCCCTACAGGCCCTCCAGATTCCAATCTGGTTGAGGTCAACTATTAATTTTTTTTTATATAACTTTCAGCCCCGTGCTCTAATCTCCAGAAAGGGAAAAGGGACTGGAATTGACTTAATTATTGATCGTGCCTACATGATGAAGCCTCCCTAAAAATCCAAAGGTATAGCCCTGGCTGGTGTTGCTCAATGGTTAGAGTGCTGACCTGAGCATCAAAGGGTTGCAGGTTTGATCCCTGGCCCCAGTGAGGACATGTGCAGGAGGCACATCAATGTTTCTCTCTCTCCTATCTCTTCTCTCTCTCTCTGTCTCTCTCCCCCTTCCTCTCTCCCTCTTATCCTCCCTCCCTCCCCTGCCCTTCCTTCCACTCTCTCTCTAAAAATCAATATCATGTTGTTTGTTGTTGTTGTTGTTGTTGTTAACCCTCACCCAAGGATATTTTGACTTTTTTACTCAAGACTTCTGTGTTTTACTGCTGAAGTAGGAGTACAGCAAAATAAATTGGGGAGTCCTTGAAAAACAGCACCAGAGGAGACAGGAGACAGCAGTTTACATCGTAAGTAAGAGTCTACCTTACCTAAGGAAAAGGAGCTCTTCCATACTCCAGCCTGGCTCATTAGAATTCTACACTGGGACTGGGAGCCAAGGCCCAGGTAGTTATCTGAGCATTATTTAGCATTGTTTTGTTCTCTAGGACTATATTTCCTTCAAGAAATCCAGGGAGTAATGTTAATGAAGGTAGATTATGGTCTTTGCAACTCATATTCCAATCATATATTTATCTAGAGATGTAACCACCCTATTTTGACATGGCATATATGTAAAAACAACATTAAAATACAATTAAAATGACATATAAGGTATTTAATGACACGTAAGGGGAAAATGATACATATAGTACAGAACTCAATAAGATTGTTTGCAGAAAAATTAATAACATGAGAAAAATACTTGTAATGTTAAATGAAAAATGTAGATACAATATTGTATAGTTGGTAATTGAATAAAATGTTATTTTGATTGAATAAAGTGCGATTTTTATTTTCTTGAAGGTGGATAAAGAAACTAGAAGGGAATACATAAGAATACTGGCAGTGGTTTCCTCAAAGTATTGTAATTATGGGTGATGGAGTTTGGTGGAGATTTTTTAAATGCATTTCTGTACTCTTTAAATGTGCATGTGCTTTATTTATGATAACATAAATACTTCTTAAATGTCTGCAACTCTTGAAAAGTAATGTTCCAAGATAAATATGCTGCTGAATATTTTAAGAATTTACCTCATTCTAATATAAGGGATGAATCTGAAGGGCCAACATCTATAAAAGAGATGAGATATGTTCTGTGTCAGTGGAGGTAGGACAGTGATCAGCAGGTAATAGACACAGAAGAATAGATTTCAACTCAGTATAAGCAAGAGTTTTTTGATACTTAGAGAGGTCCTGGAATGGAATACAATAGGTTCTCTCAAGATGCTGCGCACTGGAAGTGGTCAAGTAGAGCCAGAGGGCTTTTTGCCCTAGGAGATGGTGAAGGGAGAAAGATGAGGAGACAGTAGGACTAGATAATCTCTAGTGCCCTTTTTACTACTAACATTTTATCAATTTGTCATTCATTCACTTATTCATATGACCTCCAAGATGGTCCCCAATCATCCTTGCCTACTGAGGGCCATGCCTTATTTAATACCTTCCACATTGAAGGAGCTGATTCATGGAACCAATAGGATATTGTAAAAAGGAGGGAGTATGACTTCAGAGGCTAGGCCATGAAAGATATGGTGGCTTCCACCTTCTCTTTCCTGAGTTGCTCACTGTGGAATAAGTCAGCTGCCACGTCATGAGGACACTAAAGCAACCTGCAGAGAGGCCCATGTGGAGAGGAAATGAGGACTCCTGCCAACAACCAGCAAAAACTTGCCAGCTATTCGAGTGATTCCCCTTGGAAGCAGATCGTCCAGTCCCAGCAAAGCCTTCAGATGACTGCATCCCCGGCCTTCAACTTCACTGCAACTTAACGACAAACCTAAGTCAGAACAACTCAGTTAAGCCATGCCTGAATTCTTTACCCACAAGGACACTAAGTTTGGCAGTAATTTGTTGTGTAGCATTAGATATCAATATAACACATTTTTACCTGATTTGTTTCACAACAAATTTGACATAATATTCTTTGATTCAGTCACTCTATTGCTAATAAGAGTTTCTTAAGAAGGCAAAATCCCGAGCTTCACAATAGCAGCCTATTCAGTTAATAGTATGGTTTAGCTCAACACAGTTGGGGATCTTAACACATTCCAATAAGAACAATGACAACTTGGCTTTAGAATGATTCATCTTATTTCTTTTCCAATAGAAGAAAAAGAAATGTGTTCTTTGTTTCTTATGGATTTGGTGTCTGTAGTTATAGCTATAATTGTGTCATTTATATTTCTCAGCTTCCACCCATCAATATGCTCAGAAGAAAGATTTGCTAGAAATTGCAAGAAAGCATTTTAAAAGGCTTTTTTTCAGCATTATAATACCTAGCATGGAGATTTGTTTTATCTGTTAAACAAACCAAAGGCAAAGACAAAAATTCTATGAATTGTTCTCATAAATAGATGACTAAATCACCTCTAAAGTTTTTTTTTAATCCCATGTTTTAACATCTGAAAGTTATAAGATATTCTGGGTAAGCTTGATTATCAAAGAATACCACAAATAACTTTGGATGTTGTATATCATCTGTGACAGAGTCAAACAGATCTATGGAATTGTAAGGGTTCTTTGGTGGAGGCGTAACTATTCCTTCACGTCCAAGTGTGTAGACTCCTGTAAGTACTCGTACAACATAAATATGTTTCCTCCCATTGCTGTCTGGCCTGGAGTATTTATCATCAGCGGAATAACTGGCATCAACAGCAAAATAAGTTCCTTTTCCATAGGCTACAGCTGCAGAGAGAAAGACAAAACCCTTCATAAGAACATAAAATTATCACAGTATACAGAACCATACACAAACCTGAAAATTAAATAAAATTTTAATGCAGTTCTTGGTCACCACAGCCACTTTTCATCATTTCTAAAATTCCCTTCATCTATTCTGGAAAGGTTGCCAGTCTCCTTTTGGGTGAAACAGAATGAGCTCTATGCTGACAATGACAGTACGGCTGCCATCTATGGCTACACTGCTTGGGTATGAATAGTTAACATTAGAACATCCATTCACCTCGTTCTGACCAGTATGATTACTTGCTTCCTTACCATTCTTCCCAGCATAACTGCGATTAAAGCCATGCTGATTGACGTGTGGCACAGAGTGTGCATCTGTCCCATGGAAGAGGATTTTCTCATTATCTATATGGCCATTCTTGATGTCCATGTGCTTTTTCTTTATCTGGTAGCTCTGCCAGAGAAATTCATTCTGTATCTTCTCAATCTACAAATGACAAAGAGCAAAACATTTGAATATGACCATAAAGCTCAATGTAGTGTTTGCTGTGGCCTTTAAGCAATATAGAGAAGGAGGAGAAGGAGAAGAAAATGCAAATAAACAGCAAATTCAGAGTGGGTACTGACAAAAGAGAAAAATTCTAATATGTTCTAAACTGAATTACAGTGGGCTGGAGCATGGAAGACCAAACAACTAACAAGATTGCTCTCAGTCCTGAGTATATGTTGGACTGTGAATTCACTTCTAGGCGGCCTTTGCTGAGATTATCTAAACGAGAGAATAGCCAGGTACCACCAAACCCTAGGAGCCTCAGCTTCTTATTTACACATTTACTTTCCAGATTGTTGCCCACCACGAATCTGAATGAGCAAACACTCTGCCTGACCAACTCTGCGCCTATCCCAGAACTAGCCCGGCTTCATCTTTCCCCACACTCTTTCTCTACCTACAGCCCATGTACACTCTTTCAAACTAGTACTTACATCTTCTTCCCCCTACTTGATGCAAAATGCTCGCTGACTCCAGGAGGGCTAGTCTGCTATCTTTTCCACCTGGCACTGCTGCAGGAGGTTTAGACTTCACGCCTCAGGACCTGGTCATTTTTCTTGGTAGCAATGACCCAAAAAACCCTTTCTTTTCAAAAGACTTTCAGCCGTGGAAGTTACAAATTTTGTTTAACAGTAGCTTTTTGTCTTTAGAAAAGGGGTAGCCTAAAAACATCTGTATGTTATAATACTGCTTATTATTGGTATCTATTTTACATAAAAGAACTTAAAATTTATATTAAAATGTTTACCTGGAATTCCTAGAAATTTATTGACATTCAAACTCCTACTCAAAAATTTGTAATCATTTAATAATTATTTCCATAATTCCTTCTGATCTCCCAATCATATTCTTTCTTCATTGCTCCAATTATGGTCACAAATCACCTCATAACTGCCTAATTTAATGACTATTTCTTTCCAGAGATATCAACAGCATTTTAAACCATGAACCATCCTCTCCTTGGAACTTTGTCCTTTAACATTTTTTCAGGAAATCATTCTCTATTGGTTCTCATTCCTTCTAGAAAATTAATTTAGTTCACTAATATCTAATGAACATCTAGTATGAATCAAGCACTGTGTTGGGTCTCTGCCCTTAAAACACTTTCAGTCTAGAGGGAGAGAAAGACAAGAAAACAAATCATCACCCCTCACTGTGAGAAGGGATGGATTAGGACAGGGGTGGGCAAACTTTTTGACTCGAGGGCCACAATGGGTTCTTAAACTGGACCGGAGGGCCAGAACAAAAGCATGGATGGAGTGTTTGTGTGAACTAATATAAATTCAAAGTAAACATCATTACATAAAAGGGTACGGTCTTTTTTTTTTTTTTTTTTTTTTAGTTTTATTCATTTCAAACGGGCCGTATCCGGCCCGCGGGCCGTAGTTTGCCCACGGCTGGATTAGGAGAACATACACAGAGTAGGAAAGCATCAGAAAGAGATCCAGATAATCTATGTCTTGGGGGAGAGTAGGAAATCTGAGCAAATGGTGTTCTGGAAAGAAAGACAGAAGAAGGATCGAAGAAGAAGGGAGTGGACAACTGTAGCAGATATTGAGGGGAAGCCAAGTGATAAAGGCAGAGGGAAAGCTATTCGGCTGAGTATGATGGAAGCCTCATGATGAAGATTTGGAATAGGAAATGAATGAGGGGGTTGACTGGAGGAAGCAAGGGAGGATTCCAGGTACCTGAAGGGTCCAGCTAAGGTTGGAGATCATGAATTAGTAATGATTTTACTTAGCAGCAGCAGGAGAGAAGGTAGGTTATAGAATTAATCCAAAGTTGGTGTTTTTCAAAATGGGTATGATAGAAGTACAAGAGCCAAGAATGTTGCAGAAATTGGGTAAACAAATTAAAGCGAGGTTCCAGTACTCTCAACAGCTTTGAACATAATGAAGCATCTCCTCCTTAAAATATGTCCCTTCCACAGTCTCTCTTTACTGGTTCTTCTTTCTCAGGAATTTTTACTCATTCCTTCCATAGGTATTGTGTCCCACAATATACTAAGTACGGGAATGCAGAGATGAGTAGGAGGTGATTCCTACCTTACAAAGTCTGCAGTCAAACAGGGAACTCAGGCATGTGCAAAGTTACCAAAGCACAATTTCATAAGTGCTCTAATGTAGTTAAGTACACAGATTTATGGAAGAACCAGCTAGATTTTAAATTACTAGGCTGTCACACCCTGCTCTGATACCTATGGTATGATAAGGACCTTCTAATAAACTCCTACACTTTACTGGCTACTATTTTTATGCAGCACAGTGAATGGACATTGTAGAATCTCTGAACATCTATTCCACTTCATCCCCATTATGGAGCAACTTCTGGTTTGGGTGGAGTTGGCCCTCCTTATAATTCTAGAATGGAGCCCAGTTGGGTTAAATAAATCTCATGATGGGTTCCAATAGCCCAGGTCTAAGGCAATCAGTATATAATAACTTCCCCAACCCGGACTGGTTGGAATGGTCCACTCAACACAAAGACTGGTACTCTTATCTGTTAATTGTGAGACTGAGCACAGTGTCTCTTCTGAAGAATATGAATGGAGGAAGCCGAGACTCTCTGGTTGCCACCAGCAGCCATCCTATAATCACGAAGGGACTCCTGCCTTCAAACGAGGCTGACACTGTGAACAGCAAATTCAGAGAAACTGGATCCAAGGCGTCATCGAACCACTGGATCAAACTGCTCCAATCACTGTCCTACTTCTGGACTTTCCATTAATTGTCAATACATTTCTTCTTTCTAATCAGTTTCAGTGGGTTTTTGAATTGTAAGTGAAAGTATCCTAACACATATATGTAACTTTTGGGAGTCTCCTTTGTTATTGTGAATGCATGAATCATGAGATTTGAAGTCTATGGAACTTGCATGAGTCCAATTAAAACATACGGTATAAAAGAAGAAAGAGTCTTATATAAAAAGATAGTTTTCATGTTAGTTCTTCAATATTTAAAAGAAGTCATTTTTAAAGTGCAATATTACCTTCTCTATTCTGTAGGAAAGACAAGTCTGAGAGAATTTGTTCTTCACAGTGTCATATTCTGACTGTCCAGGTTGTAGCTGGATCATACAAAACAGCTGCTGATTCATGTCAGACCGGTATTCAGGAATATTATCTGGAAATATAGCATTTGGTGAAACATGACATTCATCTCTGAAAACCTAGGCATTTTTAATGCTCTTTCTTCTAATCCTAGTCTTTGGGGTGGGAGGAAGCTACACACTCTACTATCCTAAATTTGATAAACACAGATGAAGTGAACAGTTCTGACACTAATATGACATAGGTTAATTAATGGTTTAGCAAAAATATTTAGATAAACTTAGATTCACTATAGCTTGAAATGATAATTTTCCCAGAAATTTCGATGGAATTAATGCCATAAGAAGCTAATATGTAAACATGAAAGCTAATTTATTGGTGTTTTCACTTTTATCAGTTCTATTTAGTGTGGTTCTTTATTATTTTTCTTTTGCAACATGATTATCCTGCTAAAGATATTTAAAACACATTGTTCTGTATCCCATCTTCCTTGCTAAGTAAACACCACCTAAAGAAAATAACAGAAGTGCTTAGTGAATGCTTTCACATAAAGTGGTGATGCTCAAAGTTTCCCTTTGCTTTCCAATAGCTTCCAGAAACTTTAAACGCACTGAGCTACACAGACATCAGCGTCCTGAGTTGGTATGACTAGTAGAAATATGGACAGATTGCATTAGAGAAGAAAATGCCACAATGCCACAGATTAAAACCAAAGGATTTCTCCTTACAAACAAAGCCACAATTTACCCATTTTTAGTGAAAGATATGCCAGGCCTGGGAGAGGGATCTAGGGCACTCCCATCCTGTTTTCCAAGTCCATTCAGGGAATTAAATCCTAGTGACAAAGTGAAGCATCTCACCCTAATCTGGGAGGTCTTTTCAAATTCCATTTTCAAAGAAAAGTTTCCCCATGGTAGGGTGTGTAGTTTCTGCAAATTCAGTTCTTTTCTTTCCCCCATTGTCCACCCCTTCCAGATCTTTTGGCCTAATCATTTCTAGTCCTACGGGCTAGAGTCCTCTTGGACCTGTTCTTTATTTTTCTGAATGCAGCAGGCAAGATGGAAAGAAAGGGGAGTGTTTCTTTGGGCCCTCCCTTCCTTTCACGCCAAGAGCTTACAGAGCAGAAAACTACCAGCACTTGGAGTCAGAAGACCTGATAAGCCTCAACCTGTGACCAGCCATGTAAATCTTCATTTTCTCATCTGTAAACTGGAGATAATAAGATCTGTTCTCTCTACCACCCCATGACATTGTTACAAGTTTAAAAAATAAAGTCAGAGGCATTAAAGCACTTTAGGAGATGCCAAGTCCTTTATAAACAAACACCTGGTTATTGTACTTAAAAAATGATCACTCGATCTTTTCTACAGCCCAGTGCTTCATAAAAAAACAACATCTGAACCACCTTTCTTTAAGAGTACTGGGCACTTTGTTGAGCTCTTTCCCTATAAATCTCTTTTAAAAGATAACTCTCTCTCTCCTTTCCCATTCCCAGTGTTGAAGACAAATGCCCTCCTACACCTTTCCTTGTGCGCCTGCCTCAGTCTCCTCTCCACGAGTGAAGGTGGGATTAAACACCAAGAATCCCGGCTCTGCCTTCAGTGTCCACTCTCTTCACCTTTTATACTCTCCACAGATAATCCAACTCATGCTCAATGGCTTCAACTCCCATCCACTTACATGACTTCCAAATATATATCTCTAGTGTCTGATATACAGTTGGTGCTCAATAAATTCTCTCCGAATCAATGAATAGTTTTAATATACATTGGAAAGTAACCGTGTATCATCTGCTCAAATGAAACTCAAAGCTATCCCTTTTAAGTTCTCTTTTAAAGAAGTCCATATGAGCCCTGGCTGGTGTGGCTCAGTTGGTTGAAGTATGGTCCCATGCACTGAAAGGTTGTGGGTTTGATTCCCCGTCAGGACACATACCTAGGATTTGGGTTCGATCCTGGTTGGGAAGTGTACAGAAGGCAACTGATCAATGTTTCTCTCTCTCTCTCCTTTCCCCTCTCTCTAAAAGCAATAAACATATCTTCTTGTGAGGATTTTTAAAAATAACAATAAAATAAAGAAGTCCATATGATAAATTCTTACTAAAATTAACGTTTGTCTTTGCCAATAAACTTCCTTTTTATCTGACATTTTATCAGTATTATTCCTATTATATAACAACAAAGATTATGTGAGGCAGTTTTGTTGTTTGTTTTTGCCTCAAGTACCATATGATCACCTGTCTGCTTATTTTAGCCATTTTTTTGTTTCCTTCCTTCTTTAACATTCCTGTTTTATTATGTAAATTTCATGTCAATTTAAATTCTTGAGAACAAGTTTAACTTTATTTTTTTACTTTACTAATAATGACTTACTGCTCTTATATTTAAATAAAAAATGTCCTCTATAAAGACCAAAGGGAAAAAATGTTCATTTATACATCCCTAGATACTATAGTAGATATTATTTGTTATGTTTAACTGTCTGGCATCCTTTTCCCCCTTTTCTGGGAAAAGCATCCTGAATTTCCTTTGGAGGACAACCCTTCTCCATTGCTTCAGATAGTGACCCCCTCCAGTTTAAGTATCGAGCCTGTGACTCTGGCTTGACCAGTTAGTATAATTCTGCAAAGATTACCTAAACTGGTCCAATCAGAAGGAATCACAGGCCTTATAATGGTACTTCTGTTCCCAAGCATCATATTCCTGATGGGATATATTGCTATGGGATTCTCTCTCTCCTATTGGGCCTGATCATACAAGGATATGGACTTGAAGCTGCGAGCAGCCATCTTTCACTATGTGGAGCCTGATAATAAAGACGACACAGCTGAGAAGAGAATGAGAGATAAAGAAAGTCAGAGTCCAGATGCTATCAAATGAGCAACTGGGTCAAACTGGGCCTGAAGCCAAGTATGTCTGGACTTTATAGAAATGTGAGTCAATGAATTCCATTTTTTGCTTACGCTAGTTGAAAGTGGATTTTCTATTACTTGCTACTGCCAAATCTACTAGTATTTTTATTTATTTTATGTGTGTGCATGGAGATCTTACATGTACTGTGTGTTGCAGCACATTGAGGAGAATAGTTATCAGGAAGTACGTGGAAGGAGAAATGAAATTCTTACTGGCAGACAATTCTCAGTTTCGGAAGGCTGCTGGTGACAGGTATGCCTCATTGCCAGTAAAACTCAGTGCTTTCTGGGTAAGTGCTCATAAAAAGGGTGAAAACAGTGGTTGCAAGAGGAGGCTATGTTTCTAGTTATTTTAACAGCAATACAAAAGTCACAAACTGGGAGAAGGCTAGATCAGAGGAGCAGGTCGATACAGATACTTTCACAGCAGGAATCTGTTTGCTCATGATGAAGTACAGCCAGATGGCCCTGGCCTCTCTTTTCTTGCATCTGCTTCTGTTCTCAGGCTAACTTGTCCAGAGGTGGATGATCAATAAACCAGTATTGACCAGCTAGTTCATAGCTACAAGAGGCACTGAAGGTCAATACCAAACAAAAAGGAAGAACATGAGATCATTGGCTTGGATTTTCAAAGTCTATTTCCCTTTTCTGCTTTCTCAGCCCTTCTCTTCTCTTTCTGCTCATTTGTTATTCCTGTTTCCCAGGCATGATTTTGTCCCTCAGAAGAATAATTAGTTGACAGGAGATTGTGTTCCATAGTTCTTGTACTTTTCCCAAGTATTATAGGAGGTTTTCTGTAAAGTCCTAAAACTGATTGAAATAGTGAGCATTCGCATCTAAACACTTTCTAAGTGATATTACAGATAACCACATGATTTTTAAAAGAACATCTTACATGCAGCCTTGGAAAATGTGGACTGGAAAGTAGGTGATGTGGCTATTTTTTCTCTTTTCTTCATGCTGTCATAGAATACATTCAGCAACTCAGTTACAAAGATGACAACTTTAACTTTTTTTAATGATGGAGTAGAATGTTTCCGTGTGAAGTCTACAATAGCATTGATTATGTCGTCAGCAACTCTGATTGGGTTTTTCCCAGCATTTCCTGGAAAAAAAAAATTTAAGTGACAAAAATAGTTTCAGCTGGTGTTGGTCATGTGATCAGATTTGGCAAATGCAGTGCTTGATGCCGAGAAAGAGGAAAGCAACACCTGACAGCCAGAAACTGACCTGGCACTCATGACCGGGTCTTGGTGTTCTCCAGCTGAACACAAATTTCATAGAGCATTATCGAATGTAACCACTCTGTAACCATGATGAATTAAGCCAAAAGGAGACTGCTGCATAGTCATGTCTGACCACAGACAAAAATATGAACACTATCCATACCACCATAAATGGCTCAACACCCCCATCTTGACCAATATGAACAATCGTTCTTCGTTACCAATCACAGCTTTAGTTACACTCTTCTCTTCTTCCAGATAATATACCTAATCATAGAATTACGTCTGCTTCCTGAAAGCATCCAATCCAAAGCAAAGCCCTACTTACTTGTGACTGCCATGAAGTTGCCTAGCACAAGCTCAAATCTATTAACAAGTCCTTTCCACAACCTCTTGCTGAGGTGCTGCATAGATCTCCATAGTGTGTACTCCTAGTGGTTTTAGCTGAAGGGCATTGAAAGTGCAGATAAAAGAACATGCTATTTGGATGCAGAAGATCTGGGTTTATGTCCTGGCTCTCCACTGATTTACTGTGTGATCTTAGATAAGTCATTTGATCCCACATATTAGTTTACTAGGGCTTCCATAACAAAGTGCCATGGACTGGGGGCTTAAGCAACAGAAATTCATATTCTTAAAATTCTGGGAGCTGAAAGTCTGAGCTCAATGTGTTGGAAAGATTCGTTTCTTCTGAGGCCTCTCTTCTAAGCTAGTGGATGGCCATCTTCTGACTGTCTCCACATGGTCTTCCTTCTGTAGTTATCAATGTCCTAATCTCCTCTTCTAACAAGGACACCAGTTACACTGGATTAGGGACCACTCTAATAACCTCATTTTAACTTAATTACCTCTTAAAAGGCTGTATCTCCAAATACAGTCACATTCTGAAGTAGGAATTAAGGCCTCAATAGATGAATTTTGGGGGACACAACACCTCTAAACTTCAGTTTACTCAGCTATAAAATTGGAGTGGTAATAGAAGATAGTAGATATTAGAGAGAAGACCATGTTAGCTAAGACGATAGTAATTAAGAACATAATGGTAAAAAAATAAAAGGTAATGTAAAAAAAAAAGTAATAGTTGAAATGTACAGGCTAAGCTGCCTAGGTTTGAACTTAGTTATGTTGCCTTCTAGCTGTGTGACCTTGTGCTTTAATACTTTAAGTTCTTATCTATCAGTGGGGGAAACTAATAGTCAAGGCTAGGTCCAAGTTATGGTGAAATGTTGAAAATGTATTCCTATGTCATCTTTCTTAGCTGTTTTCCAAAAATGCTTGTAGCCACTCCAACACCCAGTGCCCAGGGAAAACACTGGATTAGGGACCAGTGTTTCTAGAGGAAAGTGTTCCTAGAAACTGTAAGCAGGATGAGTCTGAGCTTGTTGGTTAAGGATAGAGACTGTATCTTAGTCGTGCTTTATACCGAGTGCCTTGCACAGGGCCTGGGTAACTGCATTTCAATCTAATGACTCCACAAATGAGGACCCAATTGGGAAACACAGCAGCAAACCAGTTGGGAGTGGTCTTATGAGTTTGAAAATGAAAAAGAAGGCTGAAACTGAACTACCCTCTGGAAGAAGACTTAATAGGACCTGCTGACTACAGGGGTCTGGGACACAAAGAAGCAAGCGTGGCAGGACAGCTGGGAGTTCATGGCGCCACCAAAGGAGGAAACTAGAAAATTAGACAACTCAAGAGATGATGATGAGTTTGGATTGTAATATCAGCATGTTTCTGGTGACAGAGAGATCTCCCTGATGAGATTCTGGAGAAGGCTAGAAATGCTGATTTGGGAGTCAGTGCTGAAATGGTCATCGATACTAGTGTAATGAGAATAAATGAGTCACCCAAAGGGGAAAAAAGTGAACAGTGAGAAAACCATGACGTTAAGGGCCAAAGATGGAAAGATACTTAGGAAACCTAAAATAAAGAAAAAGATGGATAAAAGAGGCACAGGACCCACAGATGGCCCTAGAAGAGTCTGACAGGTTGCCTGCCCACTTTCTGATTTGTATCACTATCGCTTTCTGGACTCAGCATTGAGTTCATTAAAAGTGAAACTGTCTAAAGGAATCTGGGTTATTCTGAATCTTTGGGTGATGAGAGGCTGCAAACCTGTTCCAATGGCAGGAAGGACAACAGATGTGTACTTCCACTGTTCACACTCTTCTAGAACACTGGAAACTGATTTCCTGACATCATTTTCTCCAAGGACATGAATTATTATATTGCACGATAGGAATCCACCTTGTGTAACTATAAAATCTCTGTGAAGCTGTGTCGCTGGAAAAAAAAAAAAAAAGGAAACACACACAGCACGTTATGGGAAGCAACACTGATTTTTGAGAAATGAAAATAGCTGACAAAGGAAAAAGCCCTGAAGATTCCTGACCAAGTATAACCTGCCTCGATCTAGCTGGGACTGTGACAGGCTCATTCCCTTTACAATCCAGTTTATTCATTATTGAATAGTTTGGGTGTTCTTCAAAAGCACTCCACCTGTGTTAATTCACTCAATCCTCAAAGCAAGCCTATGACGTAGGTTCTGTTTTCTCCATTTCACAGATTAACAGGTGGTTAAGGTCAGCAGCCGAAGACTGCCCAGGATTTGAACCCAAGCAGTTAGTATCCAGAGCGCTCAGCACCCACTCTACTGTCCAGGAGAGTAATTTATACCTCATTCAGCCAGATTCATTTTTCAAGGAGGTGAAAGTAATATACTGTGTGGTGTGGAGGTGTGAAAGCATGAAAACTTCCCCTCCCACAGAACCCATAGAGCTCTTGAGCACATGGAAATTATCAGGGCTTGTTTCAAGGCACCACCTTCTGGTACTCTGAGCAAAGCAAGGCTCCAGGAAAATGCAGGAGGAGGAGAACTGGTCCCTGCCCACCCCACCCCACCCTCCTGGTGAGCTTCCATCGCACATGCACTCCCTGCTGCCCTCAGGTGTCCACCTGCTGTCCTCTCCCAGGTATCATCCTTAGACTATTCCAGCTGTCAGCCCAGCTTCATGCTCTGCTTCTGCCTTCCAAGGTACAGCTAGCTCTTGCAGCACACAAATAAATCCCTGCTGATGTCCTCATGTTGGGACCAATGTTACCATCCTCTGATCTCTCTCCAGGAATTTATTCATTCCAGAGAAAATGTCTTAATCAGAGGAGAGTTATTAAGGTGGGAGTTTCAGGCACAACAATAGGTCAGTTGTGGAAATGTGTTGTCAAACATGTGACTTCTCCAAATCACACTCAGAGCTGACTGTCTACGCTGCAAGGTTCAGTCTTGGTTTTGAAGGATGAATAGTTTATGCTCACTCTTACAGCTTCTTTACCTTGCTATAATAAAAAATAAATATTTCGTCCCTGGCTCCTGGTTCAGAGTTCCTGGAACCCTTCAAATCCCTGAGTGATAAGAGTATGTTTTATACATTAATGAGATGACTCCTGGAGGCTGGGGAGTGGAGCTAGATAGCTCCCGAAAGACCAAGCCATCTTTCTAGGATTGGAACTCTCAGCCCCACCCCCTGACCTCTAGGGATTGGAGAGGGGCTAGAGATTGAGCTCAGTCACAAATCCAATGGTTTAATCAACCATGCCCAAGTAATGACAACTCCATAAAAACCCTTAGACAACAGAGTTCAGGAGTTTCCCGGTTGTCAAGCACCTCTAGGTGCAGGTAGGGTGGTGCACCTGGAAAGGGCATGGAAGCTCTGTGCCCTTTTCCCCATACCCTGTCCTGTGCTGGCATAAAATTGTAGGTGCACTCCTGCCTGGGGTGCCACACCAGCAAAATGAACTTTCAAACCAAACCCTCCTTTTCCTGTAAATGCTCCATTTGGCCAGAAACGTAGTATATCCAGTCAGCCAATCCCCAAACACCAACTCTGAATCAACTCTAAGCACTATATTTATTTCCTTGTTCCCAGAGCTTTCTAACTAAAGCCCCAGCCAATCACACAACCCCAGCCAATACAACCCCAGCCAATCACACAGTGTTTCCATGGTCCCACTTCCAATCCTCCAAAAAACTCGCTCTTGCCACAGTCCCTCAGGAAGAGCGAGCGCTCCACACTTGTAAGGCACTGCACTCCCCTCCATGGGTTGTTTTCTTAAATACAGGTCCTCACACTCATTATTAAAATGTTTTAGTTTTGTCATTTGACACATTTCTTTCACTTGGCTATTCCTTTATAATAAACTGGGAAAGGTAAAAAACATGTTTTTACAGAGTTCTATGAATTATTCTAGTAAATTGTTGGACCTGAGAAGGAGTTATCTGGAACCTCTAAATTTATAGCCGTCAGAAGTACAGGTGGCCCCTGGGACTTAAAACTGGCATTTGAAGGTGGGGCCAATCGTGTGGAAGTAAGACCTTTAACTTGTGGGATCTGGTACCAGCTCAGGGAGGTAGTGTCAGAAGTGGAGAATTGGTTGGTGTCAGAAACCCCTCAGGCCCACACAGGCTCCCTTATTTATTCATAAAAGGAGTAAAATTCAGGTAATGCTGTGCGATGTGAAGTAGAACAAGACTGGGGAAAGTAAAAGGTCATTTATACAGCACTTTACAGCTTACAAAACTTTTTTTACATTCATTTTTCCTTCTCATCCTCACAACCACATGTGGGACAGCCATTATCATACTCCTCATCAGTAGAACCGTCTTATGGGTAAAAGAAGAGAAGCAAAGCTCAAGGAGGATCCCTGAGTATAAGGTGGAGCCTGGATTACCATAACCCAGGCCTGGGATCCTTTTAATTTTTAGGAAGAGACAGGTGGGATGGCAGGATAAGGAACTCTTCGCCACAGCCACCACGTCATATACCACCTAAGTCTCCTCACCCAGGGAACCCACCTTCTGCCAAAGTGCTCACCACTTACTCCACCCATAGATCCTCTCACAGTAGTCTCAGCCCTTTAATTTTCAATAGGTTGTAAGCAAAAGCAACATAAGATCATACCTAGTACAGCACATTCATCTTCCACAGCTGGTCCGGCACCTTCTAAAATTGCTTTTGACACCCCTACAGAAGACATATTAATGATATAAAGCATCTGTTAAAATTCAATAAGTAGTAATAGCTTTTGTACATTAGACTTTTATTCAGCTCACCCTTTGCATAATGCATTGACGTCCCCCTCCTTAGAAAATCACCTTTCTATAGCTGCCTTCATTCAATGGCAGATGAATAAACAATCTGATCCACAGGATGAGGGCACTGCCCAATAGCTGAAAGTCTCCAGTGTCTGCAGCTTTACTGGGATATTTCTGCAGTTATTTAAGTTTTCTTTTTTTTGCATTCTATGCTTACTATTTTACAAAATTGAATAAAAATATAAAAATACAAGTTCTGATACGAATGAAAAGCATGGATCTCAAAACTATAATAACCCTGAGCAATTTACTGAAGTTCTTTTATTTTGTTATTTAATTTTGTTTGGCTGGGTTTTTCACAATTAAAGAGTTGGCTGGCTTCAGTCCAGTGAATCTTCCGATCAAGGCTGCAGCCTCACCACCTTAGTCACATCTAAGGACAGGTGGGTTCAGTGGTTGAAAACATGGACTTTGCATTTTGACACACTGGGTTGGCATTGACTCTACCACTTACTAGCTAATAGGTGACTAGTCAGTTCCTCATCTGTTACACAAAGGCTGGCATAGTACTTTTCCTACAGGGCTGTTGAACATTGAAAGAGATAATGGATGAAAAATACTTAGCACAGAATCTAGCACACAGAAAGTACTGAATAAATGTTAGTTATTTTATCATCATGAAGATCTATTGATCTATTATCTATCTATCTATCTATCTATATATCTATATCTATATCTATATATATATAGATATAGATATATATCTATATATATAGATATAGATATAGATATATATATAGATATATCTGTCATCTATCTATCTATCTACCTATCTACCCATATCTCCTTGATTATGAATTGTCTCTTTTAAAACATCTCCTTTTTTCAGTTTGTTTGTTTTGGTCTCTGACTTTGCAATGGTGGAGGTTTTTCTCAAATAGGTGACATTTGTCACTCCATTCATATGTAAGAGTGATTTTGGAAGCTCCATGTGCAGGAGGCTTGCTGGCTGATAGGCTTCAGCGTAAGGTGAGCAGGCAGTAACAACTGGCCTTTAGAATGGTCAGGTTCACTCCCATCTCCTATGTGTGGGGCATAAGCCCATCTGCTGCTCTGAGAGCCCCACAGGGATAGGGGCTGGGCACTCACTGTTCACTACAGACACCTCACTGAAACCCTGTTTTCAGTCTAGCTCCCCATCCTCATCTCACCTGTTCCCAGTGTGCTAAGTCCGGAAAGCTCTCTGGTTCAGTGTCTCTAAAAAAATTACACCTCCCATCTCTGGCTAGGGAAGAGCAAGGGAAGTTACTGCTGCACAGATGGGGGATAGCATCAAAGGTCTAAGTGCTACTGATTCAGAATTCCATCCAACCATTTTCACCTCTTTTTATCCCCTGCCTTCCCAGGTTCCTGCTGCCTCCAGTTCCTGTGTTTCTAGGCGCTGCTGTTCTCTCCTGCAGGTACTAAGTGTTCTCCATTCTGTCAGCTACCTCCACTAGCTAGCTGCTTCCCATCTTGTGAAAATATGTTGCTATCTCTGTTTACTGTTGTTTTCCCTCCAACTCTCTTTCTCTGTGGGTTTATACCCTTTTAATTCCTTTACAGTTGCTCTGTCAGAGTTTCAAGAGGGGGAAAAATAAATGCATACATTCAATTTACTGTTTTAAATAATTGAATGTTCTTTATGGCTTTTAAAGCATTGAATGGAGCCCTAGCCTGTTTGGCTCAGTGGATAGAGTGTCGGCCTATAGGCCAAAGGATCCCAGTCAAGGCATATACCTTGGTTGCAGGCTCCTCCCTGGCCCAGGCCCTGGTCAGGGCACCCGCAGGAGGCAACCAATTGATGTGTTTCTCTCACATCGATGTTTCTCTCTGTCTTTCCCTCTCTCTTCCACTCTCTCTAAAAGATCAATCGAAAAATATCCTTGGGTGAGGATTAACCAAAAAAAAATTTTTTTTTGAATGGTCATTCTACAGATTCACTTCTGCATGGTAAGTTCCATAATGTTTTGAGATTTAGAAAATATTAAAAAATTTTTAAATCTTTATTGTTGAAAGTATTACATATGTCCCCATTTTTCCCCATTGACCCCTTCTAGCTTGCCCTGGTCCCCCACCCCAGGCCTTTACCATGTTATTGTCTATGTCCATGGGTTATGTATATCTATACATACAAGTTCTTTGGTTGATCTCTTCCCACACAGCCAGCCACTCTATGTTTTATCTTGCCCTTTTAATTTAAAAATTAGTGTTTTATAGTATCAGCATAAAAGATGTATCAGCATATGAGCAATGTATATAAGTTATGAATAAATAGACATGTGGCGAGGGCATGCTCAAAAGTGTTATATCAAAGGGGCTGGTCAAATATTTTCGGGAAAATTAAGAAAAAGAGGTTGAATTTCATTTGGGTCAGTATAGTATAGAGAACAGTTATGGGAGGTGAGATGTGAGTACCAACATAAGAAGGGAAATAAAAATAGAAGAACTTAAAGCTGATTAAATTGTAAGTGTGTAATTTTGATAGTTCAGAGCTAAGAAGGGGATGAGAGCTGACACTAAGTATAATGCATTAGGTACACTCCACCTTTACATCACTTATACCCCATCTATGCTTCTTTGGGAGTAGGCATTTGACAGGCAGAGAAAGTCCAGCTCAGAGAGGTTAAGTGATTTGTCCAAGGTCACAAAATGGTAAGTGGCACAGCCTGGATTCAAAGCCAGCTCTTTCTGATTCCAAGGTCTGCATATTTACTACACACCTCTCTGTCTACTCAGGGAAATATTAGCCACCATTTCCCTTCCAGAAATTAGTTGTATTAATAGTTACAATCAAGTATATAACTTAAATGAAGTACCTGATTTCAGGTTAAACATCCTTGTTGTTGAGTTTACAATAACATCTGCACTTTCTTTTGCGATATCTCCAATAGCAACCTGGAAAGTAACCGCACCAATTTTCATTTCACACACTGTGGGCCAAGAGCAAGTGACAGTCCCAAAGATACCTGAAAAGAAAGAAGTTGGATGAAGGAGCAGCTGGCTTCTACAGGAAAAACACGAAGGGTGTCCGCTCTCTTCCTTTCCCTTCAAAATAAATCCAAACATTACCATGTCTCCTAGTCTATTAAGCAGCTGGGTGTTCTTTTTTAAGGAAATCAAAAAACAATGCTTTGTAGCAGTAGGAATATCTACGTTTTCTCAGTTAAATAGGATGAGGCAGAAACATCTGATTGACCATCTATTTGTCTGCAAAAGTTGCTGTGGTGTCAGGAGTGAGAAAGAAGGTGAGAGAGCAAAGTGCACTCTCATTTCATGCTGACATTTCTGGGAGATTCTTTTTTTTATTTTTCAGCTTTATTGATGTATGGTTGACAAACAAAAATTGTATATATTTAAGGTGTGGATTGTCAGTTTTCATTGTGAAATGATGCCACAATTGAGCTGATTAACACACCCATTCTCACACAGTTGTGTGTGTGTGTGTGTGTGTGTGTGTGTGTGTGTGTGTGTGTGTGTTGAGAATCTTTGAGATCCACTCTCTTAGAAAATTTCAAGTATTTGATACATTATTATTAACTGTATTCCCCATGCTATATATTAGGTCTCCAGAGTTTATTCATCTTATAACTGAAAGTTGGGAGATCCTTTTATTACCATTTTACAAAAAGGAAAAATGGTCAGAGTAGCTAGGTCATTTGTTCAATGTTAAACAACAGCTCACTAATTAACATGAGCTTTTCCTACCCCTTCATATCCTACTGGAATAGCAATATCAAGACTGCTCTGGGAAAATTACCTTTAGCATGTTAACGTATCACTGTCCACTCTACACTCTGAGGCTTTACAACTTAGATGTGCAGTTTCTACTAATGCCATAAACTCTTTAGACCTCCGTTTCCACATTTATTCAATGGCAACAGAACCAATCACCTGCCCATGGGGCCATGGTATAAGTTTAAATAATATAATACATATGAAAGCAATCAGTGAAGTTTAGTGTGCCATGCAAATTTCAGTTATCTTTTAATATCATACTAGAGGCCCGGGGGGCAAAACTCGTGCACTTGGGGGGGAAGGGGGATCCCTCAGCCTGGGCTGCGCTCGCAAGCCGTGAGCCCGGCTTCTGGCTGAGTGGCACTTCCTCTGTAAGAGCGAATTGACCACCAGGGAGCAGCTCCTGCGTTGAGCATCTGCCCCCTGGTGGCCAGTGTGCATAATAGCGACCAGTCATTCCACTTATTAGCCTTTTATTATATAGGATCTTAGAAATTCTGCATATTAGCCTTTTATTATATAGGATCTTAGAAATTCTGGCCTCATTACCAGTGATTTCATTCACAACAACATGATCTACTTTTTGGAATGCACTGACACTTTCTCCATTACTGATTTGTTCTTCACGGGAATTTGTCTCTTTCAACTAACACCCAAGAGTTACTAAGCAAAGGGAAATATTGCCCCAGCAGAACAACTTGACCAGCCAGACCTTGGATATTTCCAACCGTGAGAATCTTCTCCTTGTTGGGATTTCCACTCGACCATCTACTGAATTTATCTAAAAATGCCTAAATAGAAAGAAACACAGTTACTGACCACAACAATGCTCTGTAGAAATATCGGCCCAGTTCTTTGGAACATGGAGAATCAAACATCAAACAGGAACAATCGTTCTCAATAGATTTTCTCCTTATTTCAGAGACTTTTTAATCAAAGGGTTATGATTCAATTTAGGAATTTCCTAAATACCAGTGCTGACTTATATTATTTCATGGGAAGACCACACTTTTATGGGTAACCAACACTTATGGGCAAGGAAGCAGAAAATGCTGTTATTTATACATCTACCAAAGACATCAGATTGCACTTAGGTTTGCTTGCCACAATGAACAGAAGAGACCTGTAACCATACCTTATGGCTTTCATCATCATCGAGATGTACCAGAAAGTGAACTTTTTGTAAGGTTTTCAGCCACGCACTGCTACTAAATTTGGACACTTCTGACAGGATTAGTTCAGCAAATACAGCTTTGGGAAACCCCAGATTTCCTGTTGCAATCATGGGAAATGTGATTGATGAGAAAGATAGCTGTTCTACAGTCATCAAACATTTCTTGATTATATTTGCCATTATCTGAAATGTACAAAATGCATTTATATAAGTTAGGGCTCAAGCTGGCAGAAAACAGAAAAACTGTGGTTACAGCAACCCTGACCAGGCCCTCTCTGTTATCCTAGGCTTTGTCAGGGCCTATGGGATCAGAAAGAGAAACCAAGAAGAGGGGAGAGGGCTTTCAGAGAGATCCAAACTCATACAGGAGAGAGGGCTCACCAGTATGGAAATGGTTATGAGTATCTAAATTGATATTTATGAAGAGTTTTAAATAACATGGGCAAGTGTTTATGTTATGTAAAAAAGGCAGGATTAAAAATGGAAGAATATATCAACTACAAATAAATATGCATAAAACTGAATTGAAGGTAATACAGTAAAATGTTAAAGTTATCTCTACGTGGCTGGATTATGATTTTTATTTTTGTGCTTTCTGTGTATTTCCTGCAATGTACACATATTACTTTATATTCTGAAAAAAAAAAAGTTGTGGGGTTAAATTTTGAATAGAGATGAGAATTAGGTCATCAAAAGAAGGGCACTGACCCTTTTTCATTCTGCACCACAGTTTTGGCTGCATTTCTTAGTTATACTGAAGGATTATTATGCTAATCTAATCTTTAGATACCATTCCTGGAGAATCCCAATGATTGCTATTACTTTTAAGGGCCAATTGCTCTGAAATAACTGAAAGTTGCGATGGACTCTTCACGAAAGGTAATAAAGACTTCAATAAATAGACAGGGTTAAGTACATGTTAGGGTTTCTCAACCTGGGCCAGATAATTGTTTGTTGTGGAGACTGGCATATGCCTTGTAGGGGATTTAGCAGTAGTCCTGGCCTTTACCCCTAGCTACCAGTAGCAGTTGTAACAGGCCAAATGTCCCCCTGTGAGATAAATTCGCTTTGGTTGAGAACCACAGATCTATACCATGCAAGGAGATTTACCAATTTTATAAAATGAAATGGAGAACTAAGGACTTTTTCTACCTGCCAAGAAGACCCTGCTCCATTATCCCAGTCTGGAGCCACAACATGGAGCACAGCTTTGCAGTTCAGATTGCAGCCACTTGTCATGAATATGCTACCCACTTCCTCCTCTGTTTCCTGTCTGGTGGCATTTAACTCTTTCTGGAGCATGGGACCAGCTGTACACAGAAGAGACTGAGAGAGCGATCCTCTTCCAAGCTGAAGATCCGCGGGTACAGTGTTGACAATGACATCGGCCTTCATGAAAACAGCAACAGTTTGTTAGAGGTTGAATCAATAAATAACTGCTGAGCACCTTTGACCTGCTAAGTATTGCGGGGTACTGCACAAGCTATGCTTTGCATCTCATACTGACCTATCAGCCCTACCCTCAGGGAGCTTACAATTTGTTGTTAGTACTTAGCCAGTGGTTCTCAACCTTCTGGCCCTTTAAATACAGTTCCTCATGTTGTGACCCAACCATAAGATTATTTTCCTTGCTACTTCATAACTGTAATTTTGCTGCTGTTATGAATCATAATGTAAATATCTGATATGCAGGATGGTCTTAGGCGATCCCTGTGAAAGGGTCGTTTGACCGCCAAAAGGGTCGTGACCCACAGGTTGAGAACCGCTGGCTTAGACACTATAGTGAGGTGAGCCTCAAAATTTTAAAATTAAGGAAATACATATTCACTACCATCGAGTCAAAAAGTTATGAGTCAGAGTAGAGCTATGAAAATGACTGAAACACCCAGAGACACAAATGAAAGGCAGAGGCAGAAAGAGAAACACACAGAAAGATTGAGAGAGACTGAGGAAGAAAGAATTGCTTTTAGGCAGGCAGGAACTGAGAATAATTATTTTGAACACATTAATACTAGTATACATAAAGAAAGAATAGGTCCATCTGAAAGGGGGTTTCTGATCAGCCTTAAAGGCCTAGACCAAGGAAGGTGACTGGAGTGAAGGTCGGCTAGGTCCATGCAGTCTGTCCTAAGGCACTCAGTTCTCCAATGTCTGTGCCAAGACCATCTCTTTGATGAGATGGGGTCATGGCCTGATGCCAATAGATATTAGATATTCAATTCATCTAATTTCACTTATTCCAATTTTTTTTTCAAATTTGGAGGGAGAACACTGATCATATGGATTTTGAGGATTCTGGTCCCTTGGGGAGCTCTTCCTCATTATAAATGAAAAGGTGTTTATGTCTTGGGGCCACATTATAGTTCTATTTCACACTCCAAGTTAACAATCAGCACTCACGGGTCCACCTCAATCTTATATGAAATTAGTTAACATAAACTAATCTCTGGACCCAAGAAGGTCCTTGCAGGGACAAGAGTGAGTGAGCCTTCCAAAAACAAAAAAACTAGATCCAGCCCACTTTCGTCTCACTCCCACTTACAGCCTCACTCTCTGCTTACTGATTCAATACACTAACATGTAAAAGGTAAAATGGCCTTAATGTTCAAATCAGTTCAAAATAACAAAAAAACCCCTGTGTGTTAAATATACAATTATTAATTGCTATAGAATTTCCAAAAAAGAATAGGTATTTAGATTAGATTTTTTAAAAAATATATTTTATTGGTTTTTTTACAGAGGGGAAGGGAGAGAGATAGAGAGTTAGAAACATCGATGAGAGAGAAACATCGATCAGCTGCCTCCTGCACACCTTCTACTGGGGATGTGCCCGCAACCAAGGTACATGGCTTTGACCGGAATCGAACCTGGGACCTTTCAGTCCGCAGACCAACGCTCTATCCACTGAGCCAAACTGGTTACAGCTAGATTAGATTGTTTAGTAAAGTCTTTTCAAAGAGGATAATGGATAGAACTAATACAGGTAGAAAGAAGTCAGGAAAGCAGTCTAAGTGGGTACTATTTAAGAAAATGCATGGAATTGAGGAAGGTCAGAAAGTTGGCCCATTTAACTAAAAGAGAGTCTCAATGGTGAGAGACAGGGCTGGGAACAGATTTAGAGCCAGATGATGGAGGACTCTGAAAAGTCACCTTTTTCTGGACTTTATCTTATAGGCACTATAGAGCATCTGATACAACAATGTTTTTGGAATGTGCATCAAACAGCAATGTAGAGGATAAATTGGAGGGTGAGAGACTAAAGGCACAGTGGCGAGGCCAGTACCAAGGGAATGAAAATAAAAGGGTATGTACAAGAGACCTGTGCAAGGAAGCTTGAAAATTCACTTGATAGGGAAAGGAATTCAGAGATGAGTTTAAGAAGATTCCAAAGTTTATACAGCCTCATCCATTAGTGAGAATAGGTACCCTGGCATGATTTGATAAGAATTTAACAATCAATAGACCAACTGTGTAGTGGAAAGACCGAGATCAGTATTGGGGCAGTATCTGAACCCTGCCAGTATTGGCTTTACAATTTGTCTGCATAACCACTACACTATGCCAATTCCTAGAGTGACAGAGAAATTTAGTGTACTTTTGTGTCATTTAGTTTCTTTCTAGTCTGATTATATTCACCAAGCAATCTCATAATAGTCATCTAAAGAGCTCACTATTACCAGTAGCAATGGCAATTATCTTTCTCATTGCCAATTAAATAATTGCAATTCCATTTTACAAATGAGTCACTTGAATTTGATTGTCAGGCCAAGTTTGGTTACAATGATAAGATTCAACTTCTCAACCTGCAGATCTAAGGACAAAGTCCTGAACCCATGTAACAGAAGAGTCTATGGACTCGATTTATTTTAGAGAACATGAAGAAAGTAGCTGCCTGCCTCGCCTCTGCCATCTCATTAGCTGCAACAAAAGTAAAAAAAAAAACAAACAAAAAATCCAGAGGAGAAACCAAGATGGCGGCATAGGTAAACACCGGAAATTGCTGCCTCCCACAACCACTTCAAAATACAACTAAAAGACAAAACGGACATCATCCAGAACCACAGGAAGGCTGGCTGAGTGGAAATTCTACAACTAGAAGGAAAGAAAAGCACACTGAGACTCAGGGGAGGTGTGGAAGTAAAGTGCAGAGGTACGGAGGTGCACGTGGAAAGTGCTGGCAACTGAGGACACAGTTGTCTTTTTCAATCGGGAGGGAGTCTCAAGCTCCCAAGAGCTCTGAACTCCAGTTCCGGGCGAGTCTCTGGGGACCCAGACTCATACGGGGGAAAAACTGGACTGTCTGGCAGCAGGCGGAACTCGAGGGCGGCTTTCTCTCAGAGGTGCTTGCAGCAATTACTGGGACACTGAGACGCAGGGCCTCTTAGGGTAGGACTGAGGAGCAGCCATAGCTGCTTGCTCTGCCCTGTTGATCCCCTGAGACCCCGCCCCACCCAAACTGTGCACAGAGGCTTTTGCATATGTAAGGCCTGGACCTTTGCAATCTGAAAATTACCTAACAAACTGAAGCTGGGTCAGAGACCCAGAACTTCCAAAAGAAGGCCCAAGGCCCCATAGCAGCTTGCATTGCTTCACAGCTAGGCCTCATCTGGGCACCTCCAAATACCAAACAAAGAAGAGGAATCTGCAGATCTCTCCATAGCTCCTGCTGGGTAGCCTCAGGAAGAGGCTAAATTAGCACCTCCTTAGATCCAAAAGCCAGTATACCCAGTGGTCAGAGTGGGACCATCCAGATTGCAGCTCCTCAGATCCCTAAGAGACACACTCAGGGGGCAAACTCAGTGAGCACCAAAGCCCCACTGAAGCAAGTCTTGCCCCAGAAGGGTGTCTCCAGCACAGATGTTCTCCCACCGTAGACACAGCTGATTCTCACAGCCAATTGGCCTGGAGGTCAATTCTTCCCAGTGATACCTACAACAATCAAGGCTTAACTACAACAAGACTGTGCACACAGCCCACAAAGGGGTGCACCAAGAGTGTCCACCTCAGGTAATTGTGGAGGCTGAGCCACTGGGCCCTATAGGACACCTAGCACAGAAAGCCACTCTATCAACACAAGGAAGCAGCCAAAATGTGGAGACAAAGAAACAGGTCACAAATGACAGAAATGGAGGAAAGCAAACTACTGGATATAGAGTCCAAACCACACTTATAAGGTTTTTCAAGAATTTTCTAGAAACCGCCAATAAATTTAGTGAGACCCTCAAGAAATCTAGTGAGACCCTCGAGGATATGAAAAAGGACCAACTAGAAATTAAGCATACAATGACTGAAATAAAGAATATTATTCAGAGTTCCAATAGCAGACAAGAGGATCCCAAGAATCAAGTCAAAGATTTGAAATATGAGGAAGCAAAACACACCCAACCGGAAAAACAAAAAGGAAAAAGAATCCAAAAATATGAAGATAGTGTAAGGAGCCTCTGGGACAGCTTCAAGCATACCAACATCCGAATTATGGGCATGCCAGAAGAAGAGAGAGAGCAAGATATTGAAAACCTATTTGAAGTAATAATGACAGAAAACTTCCCCTACCTGGTGAAAGAAATAGACTTACAAATCCAGAAAGCGCAGAGAACCCCAAACAAAAGGAATCCAAAGAGGACCACACCAGAGAGAATCTTAAAAGCAGCAAGAGAAAAACATAGGATTGTCAGCTGATTTCTCAACAGAAACTATGCAGGCCAGAAAGGAGTGGCAATAAATATTCAAAGTGATGAATACCAAGAACCTACAACCAAGATTACTTTACCCAGCAAAGCTATCATTCAGAATTGAAGGTCAGATAAAGAGCTTCACAGATAAGAAAAAGCTAAAGGAGTTCATCACCACCAAACCAGTATTATATGAAATGCTGAAGGGTATTCTTTAAGAAAAGGAAGAAGAAAAAGGTAAAGATAAAAATTATGAACAACAAATACACATATATCAACAAGTGAATCTAAAAATCAAGTGAATAAATAATCTGATGAACAGAATAAACTGGTGAATATAATAGAATCAGGGGCATAGAAAGGGAGTGGACTGACTATTCTCAGTGAGGAAAGCGGTGTGGGGGGTGCGGGAAGAGATGACAAAAATCGTACACCTATGGATGAGGACAGTGGGGGAGGGGAGGTAAGGGCAGAGGGTGGGGTGGGAACCGGGTGGAGGGGAGCTATGGGAGGAAAAAAGAGGAACTGTAATAATCTGAACAATAAAGATTTAATTTAAAAAAAATCCAGTGGCTCATAATCCATAAGAGTCTCTAAATTTCTAATAAATGTTCTCTATTCACTAGTCTTGAACATGTGCCATCTTAAGGTAAATATCAAGTGTCAAAATGGTGGTGGCTATAGAATTCTGAAGACTTCAAATGAATTATAATTCTCAGCCTAGCTACATATTAGAATCACCCAGAATGCTTTCAAAAACTACTAACACTTAGACCAATGATGGCGAACCTATGGCACGCATGTCAGAGGTGACACGCGAACTCATTTTTTTTGGTTGATTTTTCTTTGTTAAATGGCATTTAAATATATAATATAAATATCAAAAATATAAATCTTTGTTTTACTGTGGTTGCAAATATCAAAATATTTCTATATGTGACACGGCACCATAGTTAAGTTAGGGTTTTTCAAAATGCTGACACGCTGAGCTCAAAAGGTTCGCCATCACTGACTTAGACCATATACCTGACCAACTAAAATCTTGATCTGTAAGGATGGGGCCTGGGCATTGATATTTTTTTAAGTTTTCCAGGTGATTCTTAATTGCAGCCAGAATTGTTTCATGGATGTCAACTATAAAGGGGACACAGGGCCTGCTAATTGATGATTCCAAGGAAAAGGAAGCAATAGGAGGACAGGGGCAGGCAAGAGCCGGGCTGAGCATTTAGTACCTGTACTGGTAACCTTTCTCCCTCCTCATTCCTCCTGTGCCTCAGAAAGTGCTCACGCAGGAGCAACAGGGTGTGTTTGTGAAGGGTAATATTATAATGTGATATACATATATGTCTTCCCCATTAATGCTGATAGAACAGGAGAAGAAAACAGAGTTGGGCTGAGAGTAGGTCAAGATAAGTTATCTATAGTAATAAAAGCATAATATGCAAATCGACCAAACAGCTGAATAGCAGAATGACCTTCCGGATAACCATGCTATGACACACACTAGCGCCAGGTCAGCCAAGGCAGGTGCTATGTGATGGGGCGGGGGTGGGGGCACCATTGCCCCACGATTGCCCCACAGAGGGAGGCCCAGGCCACGCTCTGCAGGGCAATCGATGGGGGGGGGGGGGGGGGGTGGAGGAGGGCTCCATGATTGATCGCCTCAAAGAGGGAGGCCCAGGCCACTGACTGGCGGGCTGCAGTGGGTGGGCGGGGTCTCCCTCTGTAGGGCGATCCATTGCGGGGCTCCCGGACTACACTGTGAGAGGGCACAGGCTGGGCTGAGTGCCCCGCCCCCCCGCTCCCCCTACCACCACTGCCGGACCTGCCAAGTTCATGAATTTCGTGCATGAGACCTCTAGTAGAGAAATAAAAGAGGTAGGTTTGTACAACCTGGTTTGTGGTTAAACTTGGATCTCCACACATGAGTACAGGTAGAAGAATATCGGAAATGGTAAGTATAATGCTGCATGAACCTCAGGTGGGTTTAACTTCTCAAACTTAAATGATCTTAATCGTTAACCTTACATCACAGAACCAGTTCATTAGACCCCATTGTTCCTTTATAGATTTACTAAATAGAACCACTTACCTGAAAACATGAAACATCTCCACTTATCAACACGAGTTTCAGACCTTCTTTGGTTTGGGTTGAGGCTACCTTTTTGTTTAGGTTGTCATGGTATTTTGACTGAAGAAAACAGTAAAAAACATTACCAGATAATGTGTCTAAAGACTTTCCTCATAGGTATTCAAATAAAAAATAACTAGTAGATTTCACAGACTTCTCTAACTCAACTCATAATCAGATTCAAAAGCAAGTAATTTATTATCACAATGCTTGAGTATCAACTGTATTTAATACCCCAACTGCCAATGAGTTCTTTTACTTATTACCCCAAGAATCCTAGTCTAGCTGACCCTGTCCATTTCTCCTGACTTACTACTTAAGGGTGCCTCAGTCAGACTGGGAACTGTATTACTGCCTGAAGACTTCCTGTATGTAGTGCCAACATCTGCTTTGCTTGCCAGTGTAGCAGAGAGGAAGTAAATTAAGCTGCCCTCCCTCACCCTCAAACCCTCATTCAATGATTGACAGGAGCTGGTGTAAAACTATCCAAGCAATCTTGTCTCCCAGATAGGACTCACTCTAATTTCCCCAGTGGGAATAAGTGGTAACTGATTTGATAACACACCCTATCAGGGTTCTTTACTTTCCTATTTAAATCACTTGAACTTAAGCCTAGCCAGCATGACTCAGTGGTTGAGCGTCGACCTATGAACCAGGAAGTCATGGTTTGATTTCCAGTCAGGGCACATGTCCTAGTTGCAGGCTTGATACCCAGTGTGGTGTGTGCAGGAGGCAGCCAATCAATGATTCTCTCTCATCACTGATGCTTTTATCTCTCTCCCTCTTCCTTCCTTTCTGAAATCAATAAAAACATATATATTTTTAAATCACTTGCACTTGCATCTGTCTTAGGTCCTCTTCTGGGGAAACCACAGTAAGACACACCCTACAGTTTCCCATAATAATGCATTAGTTTGACTAGTAATCAGTCATATAATTTTAGGATTTAAAGAGTCAACACAGATCATCCAGTACAGAAACGTCATTCTTCTTAAAGGAAACCAGTGTGCAAAGACATGAAGCCACTTGCTCAAAGTCAAACTACTAGCTAATGAAAGAAAAACACAATACTTAAATCTGCTCTTCACAAAAGAGGAGCTCAATGGTAAAAACATGCCACATGTCACACACACACACACACACACACACACACACACACACACACAGTGACAGACATTATTCATTGGTAATAGCACTCTTTTTCAATCAACCCAGATACAGTCTCAAAATCTTTCTCAACATGGAGCTCAGGCAACAACTATCATTTGATCAGCAATAATGCATGAAATGAAATGTATTTTCCATGTCTGATCTAGCTCAAAAAGGATATGAATTTTCTTTGCTTTTAATAGTCTTAGAGAATTATTCACACTCTACATTGTGAAACAAACAGAAAACTCCAGAAGGACTGGGAATGGGCTTCCTGAACCATCCTTTTCACTTTCTCCAGAATACCATTCTTCACTTGTATTCTCCTTCATGCAATCTGGTATGTCTGGTGAAAGCATGAGCAATGATCTCCCACACTCAGAATTCCTTGGGTATGAACTCTTTCACAGGCACTGATGTGAAGACTAGAAAACCTTTCAGCAGAACCAGTCACATTCTCTGTCACAATGTTTTGGCTGGTATCTTTAGTTGTGTTATAATTCTTTTCACATCCTCCAAACAACCTATTATTATGACCATTTCCTTGACATATCAATCAAAATCCTATCATCCTCTATGCTGTTTTTTTATGTCCTCCCATACCATTGGCTTCACATTCATTTTGGTAACTTGATATTTAGACATAATATGAGAAAATTTTTTAGAAACATTTCCATTCCAGGTCTTGATGACATTGACCTTTGTTCTTCCTTGAGTGAATTAGGCGGCCACAGACCTGAGTGTTACCTCCAGTCCTGTACAGCTGACTTGGGGCCATGTTATCTCACAGTGGCCCTTTCCCCTTTTATAATTGTCATTCCAATCAGGGGATACTTTCTCTGCAAGATTCATCCTTATGAAAGGATCCAGGGCTACCAGGAACGGTGCTGGCAACTTTCTAAACAGTTCTTCCCTTCCATGTAAGGCTGTGTCCTAAGACACATAACAGGGAAACGCAGACATGGGCCTTTCATTGAAGAAAAGCTTTTTGATCAAGTAGGTGTCCACCACTAAAAAATAAAAGGTAGATATCATTCAGACAAAATCTTTGGCACAAGAAGAAATTCTGATACTAATGAGACTCTAAAATACAGTATGTCTACTCTCTAAAATAGTACCACTGTCAAGCAGCTCAATGAAAGATGTGGCATGCAGGAATGAAGTGGAGTTAATCCTCACCTAATAAAATAAATCTATTCCATTCTTGGTTACTTTGTAGTGAAGTTTTATAAAATTAATCAGATTTTCCCATTGACATTCAATATAATATTGGAGAGGTGATTTTTTTTTCTGAAAAAAAAAAAAAACTGGCCCTAAAATTTTTTTTAAGTAAAAAAAAAAAATCTGCCCTTAGAGATTCAATAGACACAAACAATAATGCATGAACAATTCAAAATAACCTATTAGAAGTTAAGCCAATGCCATTTTAAATAGTTATAATAGCCAAAAATATTGAAAACAATTGTGTGCTATAATCAAAAGAAGTCATTAAATAAGGTCAGATTCTCTAGAAGTAGAGCCTAGGATGGGAATTCATATGCAAGTGATTTATTAAAGTTGTGTCCTCGGGAGAAACCTGTAAGAAGTGAGAGAAGATAGATAATGTGGTTTAGGTTAAGCCTGGCTTCTGTCTGATCCTTCAAGGAGCTCTGGAGAATATAAGTTGTATCACAGTTGAGACAAGGGAGCTGGGTTCTTATACCTCCATACCAGTCAGTTGTTGTCTATGGGCCCTCCTGGTTGGGAGATGAATGTAAACTCCCAGATACCTCAAGTTTTCTGAACTTCAGTCTCCCAAAGTCCTTCACAGCAAGACATACAGCAGTTATAAGTGCACCTAATAAAAAAGAGACCCCAGGGCATCTGGGAGAGGCACCAATTGGAAGGAAGAGCACTTAGGGAAGTCTGAAGATGAACTGCATGAGTTTAGAAGAAAGAGAATGTGACTTAGCCATGAAGTCATGTAAAAACATCTAAGGGATTTTGGTTCACAGCAAACTCAGTATAAACTAAAAGTGATGTAACTGTGCTTGATGAGGGGAAAGGTCACCAAATGCTGGCAGGGATGCAAAGCAAAAAGAACCCCCATTCATTGCTGGTGGGAATGCAAAATGATGCAGTCACCTTGGAAGACAGTCTGGCAGATTCTTATAAAACTAAATACACTTTTGCCATATGGTCCAGCATTTGCTCTCCTTGATATTTACCCAAATGAGTTGAAAAATTATATCCACACAAAACCTACACATAAATGCTGATAGCAGCAATAGAGCTTTATTCATAACTAGAAGCCCATTGCATGAAGATTCACGCAATAGGCCTTCCTTCCCCTGGCTGCTGGCACCAGAACCCAGGCCTTTGGTTTGGCCACAGCGAGGCTTGGCTTCTCCACTGTGGCCGCAGCTGAGAAGCCAAGCCTCTTCAGTCTTCAATCTTCAGTCTTCACTCCAGCCAGAGCCTTCAGTGTTCACTGCATGCTTGTGTATGCAAATTAACCACCATCTTTGTTGGGTTAATTTGCATAAGCATCCTGATGGGCTGGTGGGCATAGCGGAGTTACACCAATTTGCATGTTTCTCTTTTATTAGTGTAGATAGCCATAACTTGGAAGCAACCAAGATGTCTTTCAATAAGTGAATGTCTAATAAATTGTGGTACTTCTGTAAAATAGAATATTATTCAGAGAGAAAAAGAAATGAGCTATCAAGCTACAAAAAGACAGGGAGGAATGCAAATGCCTGTTGCTAAAGTAAAAGCGCCACTCTGAAAGGCTTCATTTTGCATGATTCCAACTATATGACATTCTGAAAAAGGCAAAACTATGGAAACATTACATAGAGAGTACACAAATATCAGTGGCTGCCAGGGGTTTGGAGGAAGGAGGAAGGAAGGAATAGGTGGAGCACAGGGGATATTTAAGGCTCTGAAATTATTCTGCATGAAACTGTAATTGTAGACACATAATATTATGCATTAGTTAAAATCCATAGAACTGTGGACAAAAGGGGCCACATATTCTAACCTGACAAGCTCAGGGAAGGCCAAAGGATGGTGTGAAATTTAACTTTAACTAAAAGCAGTTATAGTGGGTAGTCACCTCCAAGGCCGGTATCTTCCCTGACAAGGTCAACCTTTACTTAACTGAGCCTATCTGTCTTTCTGCATCTACGATAACATATCCTTGAAATGTCAGGGTAATTTGTAACTTCCTTTTTTCCAGACCCCCTCGGGGCACAACCAAATGCGCCAGGATTGAGACCATAAATTCCTTCATTGTTATCATGATAATTGTTGACTGATAACTATCCTGCACCCACCTAAGTAATGTATCTATCATTTTACTTTTTATCCAATCCCAGAGATTTCCCTGCTTTGCTTTCTCCCACCTCCCTAATCTATCACCAATGGATTTCATGTAACCCACTTACATCTCCTCTTTTGGTGTAAGGTAGAAAACAAGGTGAAAAACCACCATTCTCAGGAGCATTATCCCAATCCATTGATGTCTTTCAATAAGTGAATGTCTAATAAATTCCAAGTTATGGCTATCTACACTTGTCGACAGTTTGGCTCAAATAAACTCACAAAAATTCTTTATAGGTTTGAATGTTTTTACGTCAACATAACCATATAACATGGAGTGAACTCTAATGTAATGGACTTCAGTTAATAATAATGTATCAATACTGTATCATCAATTGTGACAGATATACTACAATAATGCAAGATGTTAGTATTAGGGAAAACTGGGGCCAGGGTAATTCTCCTTACCTTCTGCTCAATTTTTTTTCTGTAATTGCTCTAAAAATAAAGTCCATTCTTTTTTTCTTTTTTAAAAAAAAGGTAATGATGAGGCATGAGACCATAATATGAGAAACATAGCAGTAGAAATGTGGGTGGTGAAAACGCTCTTCTACTTTCCACTGGTAAAAACAGGGGTATGGTGCTTATTGCAAGGTGTCACACTTTGCAAAGGGATTATGAAAACTAACTGTTCAAAAGAGGGAAACTAGTGCTGCTTAAAAGGACTCTAATCACATCTGGATATATAAAAAGAAATAAATATATTTAACTTGCAGAAGTAGAGAAGTAAAATGTGGTGAAGAGGGATGGATTTCAGGGAAGAGGACATAACAGTTGTCCTTAAACAATTGAAGGACTATCTTAAAAAAGGATTTATTTCTACAACTCTAAAAGGAAGAACAAGGACAAATAGATAGAACTATACAAAAATATATTTGGGCTTAATATAATGCAAATGTTTTTAATCCTCACCCAATATGTTCTCGAGAGAGAGACAGAAGGGAGAGGGAGAGAGAAAGAAACATTGACCTGTTGCCTCCCAAAGGAACCCAAAACCTGGGTATGTGTCCTTACTAGGAATCCAACCTGAGATCCTTTGGTACATAGGACAACACTCCAACCACTGAGCATTGGACCATAATGCTAAATTTAAAAAAAAATAATTAGAACTATTGTAATAACTGTGTATGATGGCAGGTGGGTTCTAGACTTATCAGGGGAATCACTTCGTAGATTACATAAGTGTCTAACCATTATGCTGTACACCTGAAACTAATATAAACAATATTGAATGTCAACTATAATTGAAAACTTTTAGAAAGTTTAAAAATCATTAGAACTGTCCTAACAATTTCATGAAAGTTCCTGAGCCAGAGTCACTCAGTGAAGCTGTTCCCAAATTCTGGCCCACAGAAAGTGTGAGATAACAAATTTATGTTATATAAAACCACTAGTTCGGGGGTAATTTTGTATGCAGCAGTAGAAAAATAATATAGTTTGTATGCTTATTTAGGATGTCTTGAAGAGGCAGGCTGGTGGAGACAGTGGGAAATAAGGTTAAAACTCCTAACCCTTTGTGTCAAAGTCATTGCTGGAAGCCAACCTCTAACCACTATGCCAGTGATATAAATTTTAAGGGTCTTAACAAAAGTTTGTTTAAAATATATTTAACTATATAATATAATAGAAAATAAAATGCATATGACCATTAAAAATGGTATTTAACCCAGCTGATGTGGCTCAGTGGTTTAGTATCGACCTATGAACCATGAGGTCAGGGTTTGATTCCCGGTTAGTGCACTTGCCCGGGTTGCAGGCTTGACCCCCAGTGTGGGGCATGCAGGAGGCAGTTGATCAATGATTCTCTTTCATCATGATGTTTCTACCTCTTTCTCCCTCTCCCTTACTCTCTGAAATCAATAAAAATATATTTAAAAATAAAATAAAATAATTTTAAATGGTATTTATTTGGTCATATTATCCAAAATATAAACTACTTTGTGGCATAAGTACTTTAGGAGATTGTTACTGCCTTTAAAATGGTTCATTCAATTTTCCAAATTCTTAATGAGCTCTTTGAGAAGTGATCAGATTCTGAATACATCATGAAGGTGGAGTGAATAGGATTTCATTACAGACTGGCTATGGGCTATGAGAGAAAGAAAGGAGTCAGCTTGACTCCCATGTGTTGGCCTTAGCAACTAGGAGAATGAAGTTGCTCTCAACTGAAATGGGAAAGCCTGTGGATAATGCAGGTTGATAGGGTGGGGTGACAAGGTTGGGAGTTTTGTTTTGGGCATGTAACGGTTACATCAGATGCTTTTAGACAACCAAGTGAACACATTGACTCGGAAGTGAATGTGGACATTGGAGCTCATGAATCTTGACAAGATATAAATTGGGAGTCATGGGTACATAGATAGTATTTACAGCCATTAGGCCTCAATAAAACCATGTATAGACAAAGGAGAGAAGAGCACTGAATCCTATGTTAAGAACTAAGAAAATGAAGATGAATGAATAAATAAAGAGAATGAGCAGCTATTGAGGTAAAAATAACAACCAAGGTGTGATGTCCTAACAACAAATAAAGTGCATCTAGAAGGAGAGAGTGATTAAGTCAAATACTGCTAAGAGATCAAGTAAAATGAGGACTGAAAAATGGCTATTGAGTTTTAACAACCTAGTGGCCATTGGTGACTCGACAAGAGCAGTTTGGGTGGAATGATGGAAGTAAAAGCCTCTCTCAAATTAATTTAAGAAAGAATGAGAAAAGATGCTCAAGGTCACTAATAATCAGAGAAATGCAAATTAAAACTACAATGAGATATCACCTCACACCTGTCAGAATGGCTATCATCAATAAGTCAACAAACAAGTGTTGGTGAGGATGTGGAAAAAAGGGAACCCCAGTACACTGCTGGTGTAAATGCAGATTGGTGCAGCCACTATGGAAAACAGTGCGGAGGGTCCTCAAAAAGCTAAAAAAATGAAACTGCCTTGTGAACCAGTGATTTCCCTTCTGGGTACATATTCGAAGAAACCCAAAACACTAATTTAAAAAAAAATGCACCCCTATGTTCATTGCAGCATTATTTATAACTAGAGGCCCGATGCACGGATTCATGCACTGGTGGGGGCCCTCAGCCTGGCCTGCTGAGCTAGAGCCAAAACCAGCTCTCTGACATTCCCCAAGGGGTGTTTGATTGTGAGAGGGCGGTTCTTGGGTGATGCACCCTGGAATCGGGTTCCCTCCTCTCTGGCTCCAGGTGCAACACCTGAGAACTGCAGCTGCCAAGTCATCGCAGCTCGGTAGCTCCTAAGTTGAGCTTCTGGTGGTCATTGTGCATCATAGCTACCAGTGAGATGGTCAGACGGTCAGTGGTCACTTAGGCTTTTATATATATGTAGATAGCCAAGATATGGAAGCAAACCAAATGCCCATCAATAGATGAATGGATAATAAAGCTGTGGTACATATATACAATGGAATGTTCCTCAGCCATAAAAATTTAAAAAAGAAATCTTATCGTTTGCAATAGCATGGCTGGACCCAGAGGGTATTATGCTAAGTGAAATAAGTCAATCAGAGAAAGAAAAATACCATATGATGTCACTTATGTGTGGAATCTAAAAAACAAAATAAACAGCCCTAACAGGTTTGGCTCAGTGGATAGAGTGTCGGCCTGCGGACTGAAAGGTCCCAGGTTCGATTCTGGCCAAGGGCATGTAACTTGGTTGCGGGCACATCCCCAGTGGGAGGTGCACAGGAGGCAGCTGATCAGTGTTTCTCTCTCTTGATGTTTCTAACTCTCTATCCCTCTCCCTTCCTCTCTGTAAAAGATGAATAAAATATATTTTTTAAAATAATAATAAATAAACAAAATTGAAACAGACTCATAGATACAGAGAACAGACTGATGTTTGCCAGAGGGGACAGGGTTGGGGGACTGGGTAAAGAAAGTAAAGGGATTAAGAAGTACAAATTGGTAGTTACAGAATAGTCACGGGAATGTAAAGTACAGCATTGGAAATATAGTCAGTAATATTGTAATAACTATGTATGGTGCCAGGGTGGTACTGGAAATATCAGGGGGTAGAGACAGCACTTCGTGAAATGTATGATTGTCTGACCACTGTGCTGTACACCTGAAGCTAATAAAAAATAATACTGAATGTAAACTGTAAAAAAATAAAGAATAATATACATCAAAACAAAAAGAAAGAGTGACAGGAGAGAAAATGAGAGTGGGTAATGACAAACTCAATTGAGAAATTTTGCTGCAAAGGGAAGCAAAGAAATGAAGTTACAGGAAAAGTAGGGTCAAGAGAAGTTTTTTGTTGTTTTGCTACTGCACAAAAAGAACAATTCTTTTACCTAGATCTCCACAGAGACATGTTCAAAGCCTTGAGTTAATTCATAACATATTTCAGTAGGTATGTGGTAGCTTTGATGTATTTCCCAGCACCTATATGGCCCTTATTCTGACTTCATTTGTGCATGAAATGGTTAATAATAACTGTAAACATAGAGAAAGAAGAGAAATTTATTACCTTTGTAGTCAGAAAGTTCAACTAAGGCTGAACTCTCCTCCGGGAAATATTAGACATTGGTCGCTCTTTCTCCATTTAGAGGATTGGTTATCAAAGAAAATCATTATGTAATTATTATCAACATGAGGTGGCAGATTTTCAACCCTTAATGGGTCTTGTACATTCCATAAGTCTTGGGAAAAATCTGAAGTTGCTGAGCTCTGTGGTGTCTGTCACAAACATTAACAAATGTCCAGCCATCTACAAATAAAAATAAGTTTATTGGTACTGTAATTTCATTTCATATTAGAAGAAAACAGATTTTTTAAAGTAATTTGATTTAGAAGCCATGACTAAATTTCTATGTAAAGTTAAACTTCACAATGTCAACTTCTTCTTATCCCACATTGCCTACCCTGAATGCACAGCCAACATTAACAGTGACTTCCATTTGAGATTATTTTGAAAACATGGATCAGCAGTTATCTCTCCAAATGAAATCAAGTATACGCAGCCTCATTGTAAGCTGATAACAGTAATAATGACTGCAATACAATATTGTTTCCTAGACCTAATTTCTTTTTGGTCCCCTCTACTTATTTCACCACATCTCCGTCTCTATTTGCATGTGTAATTATCATAAAGATAACATCCTGTAACTATTAAAACTCACTGGAAAGTTGAGGGTTCATGCACAATGGTTAAGACAATACACTCAGAAGTCAGAATGTCTAATTTGGAATTTTGATTCAAATACTTACTAGCTGTGTGACTGTGAACAAATCATTTAATCCTCTCTAACCCCGGATTTCTTCATCTTTACAATGAGGACAATAATAGTAGTATCTATCTCATAGTGCTATGTGTTATGAGATAAAGTACATAGAAACTTAACATAGTGCTTACATAGAGTAAGAACTTGATAAATGTTTGCTATTAGAAGTACCTGAAATAGTAATACATATTCCCTTGCAGTTCTCTCACTGGGAGTTAGAAAGAGCACAACTTTTTAAGACCCATTGGATGATGCCTGTAACCTCAAAATAGAATACAACCACAATTTGCAAAGAAGGGTTAAAAGCCATTGTCTGTCTTACCAGTATTTTTGAGAAAAGCGATGACAGCAACTTTAGTATCGGATATTACTTCCACCCTGAAATCACCATTGACTTCTGATGGGCCACGAATCAACTCCGAAAGCAAGGGTAGCCCATTCTCAGTCACGGCATCTTGGATATTATAAAATGCAACCAGCAGGGAGGCTTGCAAAGGGTCTTTTTAAAATTCATCTATTACATCAACTTCCATTTCATCACTTTCCTCTCTCTTCTGAAAAGGATTACTTTTGTACTGAGGTCTTCCAACTCGGCAATTTTTAGGGAGACAAAAATACTTAAAATGTTAGTTTTTATATCTGGTTCAAAATTTGAAAGGCCCTGTTCTTTATATTACTTGCTGATCTTTTAAATACTTTTAAAAAATAGATTTCACTCATTGCCTTATTTTTAAAAAATAGTGACTCTTCAGCTAAATGATCATGCGAAGTTAAATATTCTTCGTAAAGACAGATTTATACTCACCCAATCACAGAAAAATGAAAGTAACAAACATGACAGTAAATGATGGTGTTCATCCATTGACCTAAAATAATAGACCTACAACTTGTTACTGAAAAGAAAGAAGTTTCTGTTACTGCATAATGAAAGGGCAAACTACAAACCTAACCAAAATGCAAAAACGCTGCCTAGATTGGAGAACCAAGATGGTGGCATAGGTAAACACCTGTACTTGCTGCCTCTCACAACCACATCAAAATTACAACTAAAAGACAGAACAACTATCATCCAGAACCGTGGAAAAGCTGGCTAAGTGGAAGTACTACAACCAGAGAGGTGAAGAAAGTGCATTGAGACTGGTGGTAGGTGCAGAGGCGTGGAATGAGCTGGCACCCGGGTGTTCTGCTTTAATTGGGAGGGAGATACAAGCTCCCACTTGCTCTGAACTCCAGTTCTGGACAAGACTCTGGGGGACCCAGACACATACGGGGAGAAACTGGACTGTCTGGCATTGGGACTGGAACACGAGGGCGGCTTTCTTTCAGACAGAGGTGCTCATAGTGGTCATTGTTCCTGCACTGGGACCTCCCTGGTGCAGGGCTGAATGGCAGCCATTGCTGTTTGCTCTGCCCTGGTGATTCTCTAAGACCCTGCCCCACCCAATTTACAACCCCACCCAAGCTGTGCACAGTGGCTTTTGAATATGAATGGCCTGTCCTTTCTCAGCTTAAAACCTGTTAAACAGGCAACTGCTGGGTCACAGAGCCCCAAAGCTATTAAAAGAAGGCCCAAGGCTGGCAGCAGCAGCCTGCCTTGCTTCACAGCTGGGCCTCATTTGGGCACTTCCAAACCCCATACAAAGAGGAGGAATCTGCAGATCTCTCTGTAGGTCCTGCTGGTGGCCCCAAGCAGTGGCTGACTTTGCACCTCCTTGGAGATCCAAGAGCCAGTGTACCCAGTGGTCACTCTCAGACCATACCAGATTGCAACTCTTCACATCCATAAGTGACATACTCAAGGGACAGATTCAATGAGCACCAAAGCCCCACTGAAGCAAGTCCTGCCCCATAAGGGTGTCTCCTGCACAGCAGCTCTTCCACTGTAGACACAGCTAGTCCTCACAGCCAATTGGCCTGGAGGTCAATTCCTCCCAGTGATACCAATAGCAATCAAAGCTTAACTACAACAAGACTGTGCACACAGCCCACAAAGGGGTGCACCAAGAGTGTTCACGTCAGGTGATTGGGGAAGCCGAGCCACTGGACCCTATAGGACACCTACCACACAAGGCCACTCTATCAACTCAAGGAGATTTAACAGCTACCCAATACATAGAAACAAACACAGGGAAGCAGCCAAAATGCAGAGACAACGAAACATGTCGCAAATGAAAGAAATGGAGGAAAGCAAAATACTGGATATAGAGTTCAAAACCACAGTTATAAGGTTACTCAAGAATCTTCTAGAAGCCTCTGAGGAACTTAGTGAGGCCTTCAAGGATCTTAGTGAGAATGCCAAAAAAAATGGAAAAGGACAAGTCAGAAATTAAGCATACACTGACTGAAATAAAGACTAACATACAGAGATTCAACAGTAGGCTAGAGGATCCCAAGAATCAAGTCAAAGATTTGAAAAACGAGGAAGCAAAAAACACCCAACCGGAAGAGCAAAAAGAAAAAAGAATCCAAAAATATGAAGATAATGTAAGGAGCCTCTGGGACAATTTCAAGCGTACCAACATCTGAATTATGGGGGTGCCAGAAGAAGAGAGAGAGCAAGATATTGAAAACCTATTTGAAGAAATAATGACAGAAAACTTCCCCTACGTGGTGAAAGAAATGGACTTACAAGTCCAGGAAGCACAGAGAACCCCAAACAAGAGGACCACACCAAGACACATCATAATTAAAATGCCAAGGGCAAAAGACAAAGAGAGAATCTTAAAAGCAGCAAGAGAAAAACAGTCAGTTACCTACAAGGGAGTACCCATACGACTGTCAGCTGACTTCTCAGCAGAAACTATGCAGGTCAGAAGGGAGTGGCAATAAATATTCAAAGTGATGAATACCAAGAACCTACAACCAAGATTACCCAACAAAGCTATCATTTAGAATTGAAGGTCAGATAAAGAGCTTCACAGATAAGAAAAAGCTAAAGGAGTTCATCACCACCAAACCAGTATTATATGAAATGCTGAAGGGTATTCTTTAAGAAGAGGAAGAAGAAGAAAAATGTAAAGATAAAAAATTATTAACAATGAAGTGACAACAAATACATATCTATCAACAAGTGAATCTAAAAATCAAATGGCCCTGACCAGTTTGGCTCAGTGGATAGAGCGTCGGCCTGTGGACTGAAGGGTCCCAGGTTCGGTTCCAGTCAAGGGCATGTACCTTGGTTGCGGGCACATCCCCAGTAGGGGGTGTGCAGGAAGCAGCTAAATCAATGTTTCTCTCTCATCAGTGTTTCTAACTCTCTATCTCTCTTCCTCTCCCTTCCTCTCTGTAAAAAAAATCAATAAAATATATTTTTAAAAAATAAAAATAAAATGAATAACAAATCTGATGAACAGAATAAACTGGTGAATGTAATAGAATCAGGGGCATGGAAAGGGAGCAGACTGACAATTCTCAAGGGGAAGGGGGTGTGGGGGATGCAGGAAGAGATTAGACAAAGATCTTACACCTATGGACAAGGACAGTGAGGGGGCGAGGGCCTGGGGTGGAATGGGAACCAGGTAGAGAGGAGCTATAGGGGGGAAAAGAGGAACATCTGTAATAATCTGAACAATAAAGATTTTTTTAAAAAGTTGGTATTGCCCAGTTGGTGTGGTTCAGTGGTTGAGCTTTAACCTATCAACCAGGAGGTTACAGTCTGATTCCTGAGTTGCAGGTTCTATCCCCATAGGAGGGTGTGTAAGAGGCAGCTGATCAGTGATTCTCATCATTAATGTTTTTCTCCCTCTCCCTTCCTTTCTAAAATAAATAAAAATATTTTTTAATGTTAAAAAAACTGACACTGCCTATTCACTAGGAAGATTGAGTATGAACAGACATTTATAGACATTATAGGGAGAACAGGGACTTCCATTTTTCATCGAGGCCAATTTTACTGTGAACTTAAAACTGTTCTAAGAAATAAAGGTGGGCCTGACTGGACAGCATTGCTCAGTGATTGAGCATCAACCTATGAACCATGAGGTCACAGTTGATTCCCGTCAGGGCACATGCCCAAGTTACAGACTCAATCCCTAGTGTAGGGTATGTAGGAGGGAGCCAATCAATGATTTTCTGTCATCATTGATGTTTCTATCTCTCTTGCCCTTTCCCTTCCTCTCTAAAATAAATTTTTAAAAAATTGTTTTTTTAAAGTTTGCTCAGCCAATGTGGCTCAATGGTTAACATTGACCCATGAACCAAGAGGTCACTGGTTCCATTCCAGATGAGGGCACATGCCCAGGTTTCAGGCTCAATCCCCAGTAGTGGGTATGCAGAGGCAACTAGTTGATGATGTTTCTCTCTCATTGGTGTTTCTCTCTCTTTCTCTAAAAATAAATGAAAATATATTTTTTAAAATAATAAATAAATAAAGTTGGTATCTGGGAACTCTCTATGCCCTCTGGTCAATTTTGCTGTAAGTCTAAAACTGCTCTAAAAAATAGTCTTTTTAAAATGCATTTTTAAACAATAAGTACAAAACTAAATAGTTCTAAATTAAGAATAGATAATATGGGGGATAAACCAAGATGGCGGCATAGGTAAACACCGGAGTTTGCTGCCTCAAACAACCAATTCAAAAATACAACTAAAAGACGGAACGGACATCATCCAGTACCACAGGAAGGCTGGCTGAGTGGAAATTCTACAACTAGAAGGAAAGAGAAAAGCATACCGAGACTCAGAGAAGGCGCAGTGCTGTAGTAAAATACTAAGGTGCAGAGGTGCATGCAGAGCGGGCTGGTGGCTGAGGGCGCGGTTGTCGTTATCAATCGGAAGGGAGTCTCAGGCTCTGAGCTTCAGTTCCGGGTGAGTCTCTAGGGACCCAGACTCATACAGGAGAAGTGGGACTGTCTGGCATAGGTCGGAACCCGAGGGCAGCTTTCTCTCCAAGGGGCTTGCAGCAATTACCAGGACACTGAGAAGCAGAGCCTCTGAAGGCAAGACTGAGAGCAGCCATAACTGCTAGCCACGCCCTGTTGATCCCGTGGGACCCACCCCGCCCAAGCCCTGCAGGGAGACTTTTGCTGGATAGCCTCAGGCAAAGGCTAGATTAGCACCTCCCTGGAGATCCAGGAGCCAGGAAACCCAGAGGTCAGAGTGGGACCATCAAGTTTGCAGCTCCATGGAACCATAAAACACACACTCAGGGGGCAGACTCAGTGAACACCAAAGCCCCATTGAAGCACGTCTTGCCCCAGAGGGGTGTCTCCAGCACAGAAGTTCTCTCACTACAGACACAGCTGATTCTCACAGCCAATTGGCCTGGAGGTCAATTCCTCCCAGTGATACCTACAACAATCAAGGCTTAACTACAACAAGACTGTGCACAAAGACCACAAGGGGGTGCATCAAGAGTGTCTTCCTCAGGTAATTGGGTCACTTAGCACAGAAAGCCACTCTATCGACACAGCGAAGCATAAAAAATGCTGAGACAAAGAAACAGGACACAAATGACAGAAATGGAGGAAAGCAAACTGCTGGATATAGAGTTCAAAACCACACTTTTAAGGTCTTTCAAAAACTGTCTAGAAGCCACCGATAAATTTAGTAAGACCCTCAAAAAGACTGGTGAGACCACCAATAAATGTAGTGAGATCCTCAAGAAATCTTGTGAGACCCTCGATGTTGTGATAAAGGACCAACTAGAAATTAAGCATACACGGACTGAAATAAAGAATATTATACAGACTCCCAACAGAAGACCAGAGGATCGCAAGAATCAAGTCAAAGATTTGAAATACGAAGAAGCATAACACACCCAACTGGAAAAGCAAAATGAAAAAAGAATCCAAAAATATGAAGATAGTGTAAGGAGCCTCTGGGACAGCTTCAAGCGTACCAACATCCGAATTATGGGGGTGCCAGAAGAAGAGAGAGAGCAAGATATTGAAAACCTATTTGAAGAAATAATGACAGAAAACTTCCCCTACCTGGTGAAAGAAATAGACTTACAAGTCCAGAAAGCACAGAGAACCCCAAACAAAAGGAATCCAAAGAGGACCACACCAAGACACATCATAATTAAAATGCCAAGAGCAAAAGACAAAGAGAGTATCCTAAAAGCAGCAAGAGAAAGAAAGTCAGTTACCTACAAGGGAGTACCCATAAGACTGTCAGCTGATTTCTCAACAGAAACTTTGCAGGCCAGAAGGGAGTGGCAAGAAATATTCAAAGTGATGAATACCAAGAACCTACAACCAAGATTACTTTATCCAGCAAAGCTATCATTCAGAAGTGATGGTCAGATAAAGAGCTTCACAGATAAGAAAAAG